AAAGTTTCCGGATCAAGGCTGAGGTTTCAGTCTCAAAGAACGGCAACATCAATTGGTATGAGGTGGCATGGTCAACTATGTTCAGTGCAGATATCTTTTGATTGGGCTTCCATCCTTGCAGAAATTTGACATCTAAACCAATCCGCTGATTGAACTCAGTGACGGTGCTCACCTTACCTGGATTTGGAGCTGAAGGGGCTTTGCGGGCAGTGCAGAAATCACAACTGAGCTCACGTGCCAACTTGATCGCTAAGTCTGATGCCTGTCCATGCTTCAAAACCCTGACTAAATCCAAGTTACTGGGGTGGCCTAGATTCCGGTGCAACTTGATCAGCAACTGTTTGACCTTTTCAGGGTCTGTTTCTTCCTGCATGGCTAGGGCTTCAAACACGTTAGATGGTGGCATGTGGCAACAGTCCAGGCTACATTCCAAGACTTCTGTGGGACACCGGAAACGTGGGATGGTGTCGAGGACTGCTCTGACAAACTCAGGGGTATACCTCCCAGCATGAGTGCTCACGGCTCCTATGCCTGGCTCAGAACCAGCGACTTGCCTGTGTTCTCGGTGATCTGGGTGGCTGGCTCCTGGGCAGTTGCGACGGAGTGCGCACATGTCAGCATGACTGCAAAGCAATCGGGTGCTCTTCCGGATGAGCCTTTTGGATTGGTTGCCACGGGCTGGCACATGCAAGTTAAAACAACACATGTGAGTGACAAACGAATGCAGTTCTTCACACCATTGTGCGAAGTCTGGATCATCCCAATAACATGACGGGCTTGGGTGTTCAAACATGACTCTCCCCCCGGACTTGATCTGCTGACGTATGAGTCTTTTGCAAAAGGCCTTTTGTTTCTTCAACAATACCTTGCGCCTCAACACCTCATGAACGGGCATATGTAAGGAGTTAAGATGGAACCAACCACCGGCATTGGTGCATGGGGGGCATATGACCATTAACTCTGGTGGATGTTCTTGCATCTCCTGGCACACCCACTCCTGCGTCTTGGGATCATCCAAGTTCCAACCAGTTGAAGTATCCATTGAAAGGCCTTTGAGGCCCATGCGTTCCACCTCTGGCACAAAACGCGGTGGACAGAACACTTCTACCACGGCATACTTCTTACCAACCTTGGATGTTTGGATTCCTGTGGACACTTGTCTCTTGAGGCTACGCAGTTGTTTTCTAGAGATACCCCCAGACTTCTTACTCACTGGGACCCCTTGAACGGCATGACAGACATCGGACTGACACGGCGGTACACCCTCGGACGAGGGGGCATTTGACATGACATCAGACCTCTTAACCTTAAGGTTATGATCGGGTGGATTATGTCTATCATGGGGCCTATTGTTAAGGTGATCATGGGGATGACAGGACTTCACGGCAGGCACCTCTTTGGACGTCAGATCCTCTGAGGGAATGACGGGCTCTTCAGGAATCTTGTCAATCTTTGGGAAGTCCATGACGTCCACCACATATTGTCCAGCAGCATTGGCCTTCAAGGCCACGTCAACCTTTCCATGAAACAGTTGCAAACGATCAGAATGGAAGTCAATGGTCGCTCCAAGCTTCTTCAGAGCAGGACGGGACAAAAGCAACGGGGCGTCCCCTTGAACAATGGCAGCTTGAATGGTTCCAAAGCGGCCGGAAAGACCTACTGGCATCACCACTGTTGTGGATGTTGTTTCCCTGTCACCATTTCCAAATTTGAAGACATTGGTCTCAGATTTGAACGATGGAGTAAATCTTCCATCGGACTTCCAAAGCTGTTGAAACTGTTTCAGCGTTCGGTCACCTATGATTGTCTTACCACATCCAGAGTCCAAAACTGCAAAGCCTGGGCTACTCACCAAAAATACCTCGGTGGTGACTTCACATGTCGATTGATCCTCAGCGGCAGATCTGTTGTACGCTTGTTGTTGCAACCGTTGTACCAAGGTCAATTGACAACCCACCGAAGCCACGAATTCCGGTTGTGCCTCAGGCATCTGCTCCTCAGGAGCCACATATCCTGCACCACTTTCTTTGGCTCCAGGCTTTGGTTGTGATGAGGAAGACGTCGATGATCCTGCAGGTGGGCTGGAACGCTTTTGGCGGCATTCTCGGGCCCAATGGCCCACGCGTCCACATCGATTGCACTTTGTCTTGCGCTTCATCTCTTCGATCTCAACTCGAAAAGATCTTTTGAGATCCTTTGCTTGGTCAAATCTTCTTGATTTCTGCAAACGTGCTATCTCCGCACGTTTTTCTTTCCAAGTAGACGCAAGAACTTCGGCTACCTCATTCTCCTGAAACTCGTCTGTTTCATCCAGTGCAAAGTCAGTGCCATATTCAGCCAAAAACAGTTCTACATCGTCAAAACCGTTGATCTCAATTTCATCTCCGGGTACAGCCCCAGTCTCATCGCCTTCTACCAAAGCTACCGCCTTGCGACGGCCCACAGTGAAATCGGGATAACAACTGCGCATGGCCTTGCTGACTTCTTCTCTTTTGAGAATACCCAGTGACCTACCTTTCACAACCGCCTGCTGTTCCTCTGACAAGCCACTCCAGCGAAGAAGCACAAAACCTCTGGCCTCTTCAGCAAACTTAACGCCTCCCTTTCTTTCGCATCGGTCAAACAACTCAGTGGCTCTACTGATCCAGGCACGGAGAGATTCACCTTCCTGTGCTCTCAACGAAAACACCTCGTTCAAAACCTCAGCTAGTTCATCAGTTTGGTCTCGTTCGGGAAACCTGGCATCAAGCAGTTTCAGAAGGACCGTCTCACCACCGTCTTTCTGATACTCACTAGGCTCGACATGCTCCACTGTCTCCAAGGCCTTTCCTGTAAGGCAGGTAAACAGATAGGGCCCACGGGCATCGGGCTGCAGCTTGTCGAGAGTCTTGAACTTGTTTGACAGCCAAAGCTTCCATCTACGATACTCTTTGTAGTCCTCCGACTCGCCAGAAAAGTAGCGAATCCCCCCAGAGCTCTCAGAGGAGGAAGCTCCGGAGGACATGGATGCTGTGCTCGTTGTCCCTCCTGGGACTTGAGTGAATTCCAGATTGCCGGTTTAAGCGGACCGGCTCCGCTACCAATGTTATTGGCAGTAGACCCAAAATGGATTCACCTGAATCCTTGCCACGACCTCCAGGTCAAACGCACGGACTCTTTCTCCACTCCATTGCGCTCGTGACTCCACGAAAGGTTCCTAAAGGGATTTGGGCCGCATGGCCAGATGAAGCAATGAGGTACCTGCAGGATGCTGTGGCACTAACACATATATACATATATACATATATACATATATACATATATACATATATACATATATATATATATACATATATATATACATATATACATATATACATATATACATATATACATATATATACATACGGGAAATCTGGGATATATGGAAAATATATGAATATATATATATATACATCTAAATTTATAGTAGCCCACAACCGATGCATAATGACTGTGGATATCACCCATCCCCAGAGGGAAGGGATTGGGGAGTCACCCGGGAGTCCATGTCAAACCTTAGAGACCCGTCAGAAAGGTAAGTGAAGTACAGTCTTTCTGACAGAAATGCTGAACTCCACGAAGCTATGAAACATTTACCAAGGTTCAGCCAAAAAAGGGACGGTTCACCATGATCTACGTGAGGTTTGAAGCTGCAAGAACTTAAAAATCTCTATCCACCAATCGGTTTATATGGGTTTGTCCGGAAACCCACTAGTCAAATTGGGTGATCCTAATATTCCCAACCAAATGAGATTAAACGGCCATATTATCATATCGGGTGAATGCCATCAGACACTCCCACGCAGCCGCTGTCAGTCCTCTTCCAAGTCATAGCCCCTGCGTCAGGGACAGGTCAGTGGCCCCTGCAGTTTGTTGTTTCACCTAGGGGCTTCCTCCAAGTACGTGGCTTTTTGATGCTCTTTGGTTTGGCAGAGTAACTGTTAGTAGCTTATCTTCATGGAATCTTCGCAAAAAAAAATGTTTCTTGAAAAACTATATCACAACATATCACAACAATTGGGGTCCGGTAGCTTCCTTGGATCCTAGCTGCCCGCCCTGGCAGAACTGGCAGGGGCTTTGGGGTCCGGTACTCATTGGTTGAAGAGGAAAATCACCCGTGAAAAAGATGAGAACCCTAAAAATCGACCCACAGCTTTGGGGATGAGAGAGGTGAACTGGACACTTGGGTATGGGTCCATACCTATAGATACATTTTTAGTGGGATGAACATCCATTTACCAGCTATAGGGGTTCACTAGGTACCAGGGTTTTGACCCATCCCCACTTCATCATGGCCGTTGGTATATGGGGTTTCGAAGATGAATGTTCTTATTTTTCTCGATGCAAATCCGCCAATGTTCGACCGTCTACCAAGCATCATTCAAGCTTCAATGCGGCTTACTTACATTATATTACATTCCGTTGCACCTATGCTTTATTGTCGATCCCACTGTTTTGTAATTTTTTGTGATACCAGTGATACCAGTGATACCAGTGATATCTCATGGCCGGCCCCATGTCCCCATGGTGTCCCCATGGTGGCCCTCGTGGCGATCGCGAAACGATCTGCACCTGCAATCGCTCCACACGGCTTGCGGCCGCCAGGGCGGAAAGCCCACGAAGACGCGGCGGCCTGGATTGGTGGCAAAATCATTGGTTGTCGTTAGTAGATGTTGATTAGATGCTGATTAGTGTTTATGATAAAATTGGGTATGATGTTGGCTCATGTTGATTCATGGGCTAAGACGATCATTATTAATCATTATTGATCGTGGAGGATCATCACTCCAAATGGGATAGGAAAGAATAAATAAACAATGAATCATGGGAAAGAAATGACAAAACAAATGATGGTTCGAAAAGGGGTACCACAAAGAAACAAAATACCTTGCTAGAAATCTTACCACATTGGCCAACAGGTTTAGTTGGGAAGACCATGTTAAACAAATTTGTCAATAATCGCTTCACCAAGCACAACGAACCCCCATTGCAGGAGTATCTGCTAGTAACTCGGAAATAGTGACCCTAGTGACCCATTGCTATTGGGGAAACATGACCAAACAAAGCTGGGATCAACTGGGATAACTGGGTATATCATGTTCGACAGCAATGATATAACCATGATATAACCAACAAGAATTGGGATTCTTCACAAACAAGAATTGGGTATGAAAAACATCAATCCTGCAGGTAAAAACGAAACGGAAAATAGAACCAACCAGATTGGGATATAGATACATATGTTACATATGTATACATATGTGGATATCGAGTATGGCAATCGAACATGGAGGTATAACCAGCAAACAATGATAGATACGGGGCCGTGATTCAAAATTTGAGGCCCACTTTTCACAACAGATTTGGCCATGGATCATACACCATCATTTTTTTGGTAGGGCATGAATCGGCATACAAGAATGGGAACAGAATGGAGCAGAGAATATGTTCAGGAATGTTCAGGATATTTCGGGTAGATGACCAAACAAACATAGAAACTTCACCAGCTCTCTCCGAAAAACAAAAACTCCCGCCAGGACCTCCCAGCTCCAAAGCTTGCAAGCGTTCTCGAGAGATGTAGGCCTCCTGCGGTGGCATTTAGTATGGCAACATGGTGGTCAATCAACCATTAGAATAAGCAGAAATAACACGGAATAACCCTAACTAGAAACACGGCATGTCAAACGACCTGTTGGATCTTGGCCAAGCAGCATTGCATCACCAAGCAACGCGCCATGAGGCGCAGCCACCAGCATAATGGCACTGTGGTACTCAGGAGGTCCAGCCACAGTGCGCCACAGTACGAGTTTTGGATCAACTGTGGGTATCACAACCCGTCTCTTTTCTCGTCTTTTCTCGTCTTTTCTCCTAACTGCAAGTGAGTTTTCGACGTACCCAGCAAGCGTTGATCAAAGTATCCCTTTTAATCCATTTTAGAGCTTGATACCATTGTAACATATTGTAACTGTACTGGGGGTGCAAGTAGTTTCGATTCACCAACCACTTCACACAAGGACTTACGTCCAGCAGTGGCAACGTGTGACTTGATCAGTGGTGGAAAGTGCCATGCCCTGATGGTTTGACAATCATCTTCCCAGAAAGCCAAAGTGTATAACATCACATGCCCATGAAGGAGCAGCTTTTTCTTTGTTGCTGTTCAGTTTATTTTCAGATGTGATATATATATATATATATGTGTGTGTCTTTCAGCCATCTGTGGATCATAGTGCTCTGATTTCATATTTGGAAACGTCCAACGTCGAAGCCCTGGGGCCCGAATGGGTCCTTTTCGTACGGTGTCCATCCCCAAAAGGATGTGTTGGCGTAACGGGACACCTACACTGGCTACCCTCTGGTAATTTAACATAGCTATTGAAAATTGCCATTTATAGTGGATTTTCCCATTGATAATGGTGGTTTTCCATAGTTATGTTAGTTTACCAGAGGGTAATGGACATAGTTCCCCTCTTAGGATTCAACTGACATCTGCAACGGGTTCATAAAATCCCCGGCTTCACCAGTGGATGTCTGTCTCTAGCTGATGGGCATAACGGCATTTTTGCCCATTCTTGCCCACAAATTCCCCGTATGTGCTAGTTGATATCCGCGTCATCATGGTTTACTAACCTCGAATACTGCCCAGTATCCATACTTAGCAATTAGAAATCCGCCCACACCGCTTTGGCGGTGAAGGCGTGCTTATTGGGGGGCAAAACAGCAACACTAAATGCTCAATGACATTTGTTAATATAGCAGTCGCTATATCAGCTTTAGCTGGGGGGGGGCAAAAACGGTTTCGCACCGAGACCAGAATACGGTGGTGTTTTCGACATTTTTCGAGGATTTTTGGGTGTCTGAGCGCAAGAGGGTATTGAAATGGAATTTTGGGTCATTTTGGTAGCTTTCCGGCAATGGAAAAACGGCCAAAAATGAAAAAAACATTGTACATAGCAAGATTTTGCAGGGTTTTTGGATGCCAGAGCATTGAAAACACTGCAAAAACAAGTGTTTTGGACTGACGTTATAGCAAAAAACGTGTAAATTACCGTATGCTTGACTGGAAACATTACAAAAACACTGTCAAAAGCAATGTTTTGGAAGGATTTACTGCCTTTATGGCAAAAAACGTGTAAATTACCGTCTGTTTGACTGGAAACATTGGAAAAACACTGTCAAAAACAATGTTTTGGAAGGATTTCTTATATATATATATATGTTGGAGTTGGCTACCGGCATTGGAACATGGAAAAATTGAAGAAAACACTGTAAATAGCGGTATTTTCAACGGTTGGGGAGATAAGGGAATTGGAAGCATTGTCGAACATGATGTTTTCGACCGGTTTTATGGCGACAAAAGTGTAAAGTACCGTGCTTTGAAGGAAACCATTGCAAAAACATGGAAACACATTCAAAGAACACGGGATTTGGGGGACTATCTAGGCGTCGTTGTCTAGCTATTTGAAATTCCGCAGCTTGGAGAGCCTCCAAGGGAGGGAAAAGTGAAAATTCCATAGGTTGGGAAGCTGTCACGGCGGGGAAAAGTGAAAATTCCCTAGCTTGGGAAGCCCCCACGGGGGGGAAAAGTGAAAATTCCCTTGGGGAGCCCCCATGGGGGGGGAAAGTGAAAATTCCCTAGCTTGGGGAGCCCCCACGGGGGGGAAAAGTGAATTGGATGTTCACTAGAACGGAGGGTTAGCGTGTTTTGCTACTGTCATTTTGGGCTCAAGTCTTTGCCCATTTTGATTGTTGGATACTGACGAAATCGTCATAATGCCCATTTGCAATTGGGCGCTCATATTAGGGCTAGTTTCCAGTGTAGGTTCCCCTTCTGTGTATGGCCTGCCATGGTACCTGGATGTCTTTCATGGGATGACTGGATCTAGGGAGGAAGAAGTCACCAATGGGAAAGATCAACCCGAAGTATCAGAAGGTCAGTCCGATCCCACGAAGGAAAGTTCTCAATCTGGAATCCCGTTTGAAGGAATAGCCCATGTGTGGGGATACTCTGTCCTCCACTTTGATTTCCGTTCATGGATAGGCTCCTCATGGTTCAGCACACCAACAGCACCTGGAACCCTGAGCTCCTCAGGAGGGTGGGGATTGTACTTCTTGGATCAGCTGGGGGTGTGGACATGCGGAGATTTTTGGCCATGGGTTGCCAGATGTTTGTTAAGTGCCATCGTGGTTTTGGGAGCAATTTTGATTCTCTACTTGCTATTGGTTATCTGCCGGCCCTGTCAAGCTTTCTGCAAATGTTGCTGCAGACAGACCAGAGCAGTAGCCAAAGAGGTGGGGGAGCTCCTCCCCGAACTTAGACCTGGGGGCACATACGAAAAGCTGGATATCCGTGGACCCGCCTCTAGCGGGGGCGTCGATTCCGAATTCTACCAACGAGGCGTCAAGGGTCGAGGTTCAGAAAGAAAACCCAATGACGTAGCTGTTGTGGTGAATGACCAAATAGCTCGCTTGAAGGTAGACGGGGATCATTGGGCACGTGTGGATCGATACGGGTTATGGGTTCGTCTCCGTGGAGTGAAGGGTTCCACGTCGAAAGCGCTTCGCCAAACGTTGGAACAGGAGGGGAAAATCCATCTCTGTCGCGAGCAGCGGTGTCCGCTTGAATTGCAACCAACACCCGGTCTACATTGCAAAGCTTACGCTTCGGTGGATGCCAATGGGCTGGTGGATTTGGGAGCTTATGCAGGGTGGTCCACCCGCAGGGTGATCGTCTTGATGGGTCGATGGCTACGTAGAATGGTGCGGGGGCTTAGTCTCTGCGTGTACTATCTGACGGGATGGTTCATTCTCAGACAACTCTGGGCAAAGCGGACGCCACCCAGAACCATAGTCGAAGGAGCCGTCGTCAGACCCTTGGATGCGGAATCTGAATCTGAAGTAGAGGTACAAGATGACCCTTGTGAGGCCGTATTAGTCGGTTTGGAACATGGAGGCAAACCGAGAGCATTGGCCACAGACCCATGTGCAGATCGGGCTATCGGAGAGCCGGTCCGGCTCCTGGAGAGGGACAGAGAACTCTCTGACGTCAAAAGGAGATCCTCCGTCAGGCTTTGCGACCATCATCGGCAGCTCTACGTGGCGGCATGTTCAAGCCGAAAATGCAGCGTGTTGGCTTGCTACGAACAGGTTGATGGTGCCAAACAGGGAGTTCCCCTCTGCAAGCACCACCTGACGGACCTTGGTGGTTGTGCTCGCCCTACCCGCAGGGTTAGCTGGACACATGAGAGAGATAGCTCCATTGCACGATCCGAGGCATCTATGTCCGAAGGAGAATGCCTCACCCCTGCACGAAGAAGCCGCCGGATCATCTTTGACGGCGCTGAACGACTTGGGCCCAGGGCTGCTTCGGCCGATCCTAGTGAATCCCAGAAGAAGATTGAAGGCAAGCTTGAGAAGGGCCCGTGCATGGTGCTCCTCAGACCAAAGTCATTACAAACCGCGGAGGCCCCACCCAGGTGGACTGCATGGTTGGGGCGCATCGAGGGGTTCGCCGAAGAAGGGCGCAGCCAGGAGCTGCTCGAAGTCCACATCCCTTCCTTGAAGCAAACGTGTGTGATCCACAGAAGGCTGTTGAAAGGGTCCCCTCGAGACAACGGGGCGGGTCGAATTAGTAAGCATTGGGTGCAGAAGTTCCTTCAGCATACCCATGACGAAGAAGTCGGCCAAGGGATATCGGTCTTGGTCGCGCGCCTGTCCGAAGACCAAGCAGCGGCCCTGAATGCCTGGGACGGTGAGGTGACGGATGAAGGAGCGAAGCCAAGTAAAGCCTGGCAGGGGAGACTCTACCGGGAGATCCTCCCACATGCTGATGCATATTTGCGTGAAGAAGCTGAGATGTCCGACGACTTTATGACACCGCCAAAGCCGAAAGTCGAGCTGGAAGAGGGTGCGGGACCGGCGATTCCACCCTTCCCAGACCTAGATGATTCAGATCGCCAGGGAAGAATGGAGGCGGCTCGAAGAGCTCTTGACCAGCACATTGAGGGAGAGATAGATTCCGAAGTGTTGCAGACCGTGGCCACTGCCTTCGACCTAGATCATGAGCAACTGGCTCAGTCGATGTATGCGAGGAATCACCGCCTTAGCTACTCGAAGCCAACGACACCACCAGGATTGGGAGCCGACCAAAGCGAAATGGAGTTTGCAAGAAGACCCGTGACGGCAACTATGCCAGGAGGAGTGACCGTAAAGCCAGCAGTCCCCCGGCCGGCGAATCCACTTCTGCCGAGGAGCTCCTCCTCAATCTCCCCGGTCCAGAGAGGTGGATTGTCGCTCTTTCCCAAGGGGTCAGGCGGTCGAAACAGTCTCGTGAAACCAGCATCGGAGCAGATGCCGGAGGGCAGAGCAGGAGCCACGTTCGGAGAAGCCCTCGGAGACAGCACACAAGTCCAGAGCGCGGACCGCATCATTCACGCCATCGACGGTCTGAGAAGAGCACAGGATGACGACAAAAACCTCACGAAAGGGACCTTGAGTTCTATCAAAGAGGCGGAGAAGATGGACGTCTTCCTGGCACGAGGCTGTGGCACCCTGACCGTTGAACTCGCACCGGGAGTGTACGGGAAGGAACTTTTCCACGCGGGGAAAAGGGTGGCAAATCACGCTCGCCATATGCTGCACTTGATCAAATGGCCGGTGCTGATGACCAACAGGGTCCTACTTGGCATCGCTGGTCTGTGGTGGGGTGGCAAAGACACCTATACCTTGCACGCAAGTGACTGCGTTACCGCTCGGTCCGAGCAGTTGGACAGTTGGAATCCGTCCTCCGACAACAAGATCGAAAATCGCATGAGACCACCAGGAGTCTTCAACACTTGGCTCAGGTACGCGGAAAACTCAGTTCGCGTGTTTGGATCCTGCTATGGTACAGAGCATATCCAAGAAAGGCTCGATTGTCTCCAAGCCCTGAAGGAGGCCCATGAAGAAGACGAGCATGCCTTCCCAGCTGCCTACTGCATCGAGCTCTTTGAGGAACTTGTCGCGGCTTGGTGCGAAGAACTGCGAGAAAGCAGAAGGAAACTCTGCTCTCTGCTGGGGACCGAAAATCCACGGCTTGAAGACCTGAAGCTGCTAGCTTTGGCGCCGGGAGCGGATGGGCAAGCAAACTTCCAGTTTCCAAGCATATGGGATCTGGGCGACCCGAACGGATATTACCAGACAGTTGTGGTACCCAGGCAGCAAAGGCAAATGTCGAGGCTGCTCCACAAGCAGCTGCACGACCACAACCTCAAGCAGAAGAAGACAGCTGGTCCAGCTGAAGATGAAGAGCCAAGGACAGGGAAAGCCCCAAAGCTTAACCTGAAAGACAAAGAGGCCGATGGATATGCGGGCGGCAGCATGAAATCAGCCTACCCAGCTGGAAAACGGCTTACACAAGGAGAAGCTTCACGGTCCGTGGAGCACGCACCTAAGGATCCCAAGACCAACAAACCTATCTGCTGGGATGCGGCCACACACATGGGATGCACAAGAGGCGACAAGTGCCAGCACGCGCACGAGCCTTTGCCGGGATTGGCCAAACTTGACTACACAGTTGCCATGCAGGTCATTCGAAGAGGAGGACTCAAAGGTGGGCCGAAAATCGATCCCAAAGAGGTCGACGGAAGGGTCGCTCAGCTGCGAACCCAGGCAGCGGCGGATAAGGCCGACAAGATCCAACCTAGCAAGAAAGCGAAAGTCAAGCCCAAGCCAAAGGCCAAAGCTGGGAAGGAAGCTGAGGGTAAAGCTGAAGAAGACAAGGTTGGGAACACCCAGTGGGTCGCACCTGAAGACTATGATATCCCTCTGACCCATCTCGAGACTGACTTGCAAGAGGCGGTTCAGGGCCCAGATGAGGGCTGGCTGCGAATACCCTCACAACCCACTGAGCAAGAAGCCGCTCCGGCTTGGGATGACCAGAGCCAAGAGGAGCGGGAAAGGCTGAAACGATGGAAGTCGCTGGAGGAGAAAGGGGTTCTGGCGGCCTTGGAGTCGCCCACGGATTATCTCAGGTCCCATGTGATTGCACGCATGATGGCAGCACAAGATGAAGGATATGAACTGGAGCTGAACCGGTGTCTCGAAGATGCGGCAGAACATGGACATCCCGCGCTCTCTAAGGAAGCCGGACGTCAACTTGAGCTCCTCAAGCACGAGCCAAAAGCGGGTCACCAAGCGGATGTCGAATTTACGCCCATCACATGGGACGAGAGTATTGGTCATGGCCTGTTGAACTTTCAAGGAAACTTGTCGCATATCGGCTCAGTCACGGTCCGTGACTACCAGGATCGCTTGAACGCAAAAGACAGCGAGGTCCCACTGCAAGACGGGCAGTTGGAAGAAGAGCGCCAATGCCTGCCTCTTCATGTGGGTGTCGGGTTAGCGTTGGCCGATGATCCATCTGTAGAACTACGAGAGGCCGTAGCCAGAGCCAACCAGTTGAGAAAACATCTCTGGGATGAAGCAGTGGAGGCTCACGCACACCTTGGCGATCCGCCAGCGTGGATACCTGAGGGCGAGCACTTCTTGCGTCAAAACGTCCATGATTGCCTCTATCCTCACCACGAGAAAGACTACCGCGCCTTGCAAACCCTCACAGGATCCATGCTGCAAGGATACACGTTGGCGGTCCTCAGGATTTCCTATTTTGGTCGGTTGGAGGTCGACTTGCTCCACGGAGATGATGCTGGCAATGGGAAGCTAGTTTTCGTTACCATCCACCGGGGGCATATGCGCCTGCTTCTTCCACAACAGCCCCAGCAGCTGTTGGATCACCTGAGGACTGCAGACAAGGTCACCAGGGAACTTCAAGTTGAACATTGGAGGGTGATCTTGGACCAGAGCAAAGTGGAGGATCAGATGGTTCCAGCCAAGTCCCCCGCCTGCACAAGATGCCAGCAACAGCAGCAAAGGCCTTATCGTGTTGGTGAAGGATTCCCGTTGCCACCGGCTTCATTTGAGTCCTGCTTGCAGGATGATCCACAGGCTCTTCAAAACAGCGGTGTGCCTCTGCGAAAAAGGCTCGCCTTCGCCTATGGGCCAATTGGTCAAGAGGTGTACGCTGGATGGGCAGGATGGACCAAGGGGCTTCAGTACCAGGGGATCCCGTGCGGAGAACCCATTGAATACTATGAGGACCCGATCGAGCAAAAGGGCTTTAAGCCGCAGCATGATACCCGTGACCCGAAGGTCCGAGAACGATTGCTGGGATTAGCTGGTGCTCCACCAGGGCCCGATGTCCCCAACACTTGGCAGCTTGGAGTCGTTTGTACTTCCTTCTGCGACCACCAGCTGAAGAACGGTGGCAGCAGGACCTGGCAACGCCCACAAGGCGACGGCACTCGTCCCTCTGAAGTTCAAGGAAATGAAGACGCAGAGTTCGCAGCCGAACTTTGTACGGTTCTGGCGGACAACGGAAGAGTCTTCGCATTGGAGAGTAGCGCGCCGTCGGGCCGCTACCCCAAGATATGGGACCTGCCTTGTATGCAGAGGCTCCGCCGCCGCACCGGCGCAAAAATTGTCTCTATGGCTATGTGCGCTTGGGGTCTGGGACCGCCTGAGACTGAGGAGGGCCTGTTTCATCGCAAGCATTCTTGGTGGCTGGTCTCCCCAGAACTCTACCCATGGGCCTTGTTATTCCTTGGTAGGCAGTGCCCAGGAGTCGGCCCGACTCACCAGCACGCACCCTTGAAGGGACCCAGTCCAATTCCTCAAGTACCTCTCACTCGACTGGCACAGCAATACGCACCAGCTTTGTGTGCAGCCTGGGGTCTGGTAGTCCGAGCAGCCTTTGAAGAATGGAGCTGGACAACATATCTGCAAGAGCACAGCGTGCTCAAAGCCCTAGAGAAATGTTGGACCGAACTGGACGCACCCCCTTGGCCGGCTGATCCAGCCAATACGTTGGAGCGAACCCTTGGCCAACATTTGGCACCGGTGGTTGCTGGCCAAGCGGATGGACCAGGCCTCCCACATGGCTACACCTGTTCAGGATGCGAACTCCAACAGATGGTCTACCCTTGTACGTTTTGTGGGGGGAGGGGTCTGTTTCCGATCCCGAAAAGCAAGCTGAGGGGCAGGGCACAAGGGCAGGCAGCGTCGACGACGCCAATGGCCAAAGCACTGCTGAGAAATACTTGGAGGTATGCCAGAGTGCTTACAGCAAGGAGGCAGTGAGAAAAGCCACAGAGGCAGGAAATGCGTTGTTGAGGGCCGCCGGCTCGGTGCCAAGAGCAGCTGAATTAGTCAACAAAGCGAGGCTGAGGAAGTATGGGGAACACTTCCAGAAGGCAAAGGAAGGAGCATTGAAAGGGCTCAGCCCCCTACACGAGCAATACTTGAAAGACTGTGTGCTCAAGGGCGTGCCCAGCCGAGCTAAGAGTACCCCCAAGAGAGAGAAGGCCCGAAACCACGGCTCCGTCACGGGGCACGAGGAAGAGATGCTGCAGAAGGCATGGAAAGACGCATCTTATGGGGCGGTACTTCTGTGTTCCACAGAGACCGAGGACCAAGAAGAAAATCGGCAAATCGACCAGATACTGACCGAGAGCAAGGTGGCCGAGAGCCCTCTCGGCCGAGAGCCCTCTCGGCCGAGTGCCCAAGCAAAACCCCGACAGAACCATCTCAGCGGAAGGTCGTCCCATCAACGATATGCGAGCCAGGAATGCTTCGGGCTCCAAATACGACCACCCACCCGCCGCTCAGCCTAGGCACAGAGCAGTGGTCAGGCAAAGCCTTTGGTGGAGGGTGCGACACCCGAAGGTTCCACAGAGGTGTGCGAAACGCGATGTGCCAAGGGCTTTCAAGTGGCACTTCCTCAAGCCGGGCGATGTCCCTGAATTCTGCACGAGGATTCTAGGTGTGCTGATCCTGAGTCTGGTGATGGTGTTCGGTTGGGTAGGAGCGCCAGGGGAGTTCGTGATATGGGCCACCGCAGCCCAAAAGCACCACGGGTCGTTCCGACCATGCCATCCTCAATTCAACGATGTGGTTCCCTACACCAGCCGATGGCTGATGGATGACGGCGTGGTGGTAGAGCCACTAGTGGGGAATAGGATCCAGAGATCCCTGTCAGCAATGGATGCAGCTATGGTATCAGTCTGGGGCCCTGGAGCCATCAATCTCGACAAGCTCGCCGAAGAAGGCACCCCGGCAAAATCCCAGCTCCTGTGGGGCCTCCACCTAGACTTTGAAGAACAGGTTGTGGTCCTCCCGGAACCGAAGCGAATAAAGGCGAAGTATCTCCTAAGAGAGCCTCAGCTTCAAAGGGGGTGCCAACGAGTTCGTACCAAGCTGCTCCGAGAACTGGCAGGGACAGCGCAGTATTGGGCCGTCTCCGCTCCGGAGATTGCACCCTATCTACCAGTCTTTTACAGGCTCCTGCAGCAGGAAGTAGGCGATCATGAATGGGTGAAACCCAGGGGCTCCGAGAGTGAGCTAGAGGCTGCCTGGGCTGAGTTCTGGGATGCGCTCGATTGGGTTCGCCTCCAGATGGAAAAGCCTGGGGGAACCAGTTTCAGAGCAGCTTTCGGCAAGCTCCTGCCGTTAAGGGAAAGGCTCGCACTCCCTGGCATGGCCGCTTCGGCCCGATTCGTTGGAGGAGATGCCACGCTAACCAGGCTCGGAAGCACTGATTGGAAGGATAGATGCTACCACATGGCGGACAGCAGCAGATACGTCAGGGCCGTGAGCGAAGTCGTAGGGGGCGGAGATCACTTGGAGATCATCGGAGTGATGGAGCTTCTGACGTTCATTGTCCTGGCAGCGGCGCGGAAGGAAACCTGGCAGGGGCAACTGATCCTTTATGTGACTGACAACATGAATGTCAAAGCATGGTTACGTACCAGGCGCGCTTCAAACAGATACGTGAGGGCGCTCTTGCTGCTGCTCCAGCGGCTCGAAGCGGAGAATAGCTTCACTGTCGATGGAGCGTACGTCCGTCCCTACCACAATACTCTCAACGACTGGCTGACAAGGGAGGATGAAGACAAGGTCCATGCGGAAATGGAAAGCAGTGGCTGGACCCGCCTCGAGCTCAATGAGGACTGGGAAGGACTCCTGCGAGAAGCCATGCGCCCCACGTTGAAGCTACCAGGGGAGAAGGGCCCGAGTGCAGCTTTAGCCATTCAGCTGGCCAACGAACAGCAAACCGTGCATGCCTTCCCCGCCAAGATCGAACCAAAGCCATTCAAAGGGGGACTCCACCAAATCCGGCTAGGGTCGGAACTACTGACGTTCGAGCTGGGGTGGGCCAAGGGCGGAGGATCGATCGCAAGCCAGGCGCAAGCTGACTGGATCGTCTGTGTTCTCACTCAAGACCCAAAAGGGCGGGAGGCAGACATCCTTCTAAAAACCCTCGCCAGAACTGATTGGAGAGGACGACTTATCGTTGACCAGCCCAGGGAGCTCTCTGAAACCAGCCGAAATCGCCTGATGCAGCTTCAGGTTCAATGGGGTCAGGCACAAGTGGTCGACTATCAGACTTCACACCACGGCAGCTTCTTTGCCAGGGCCAGAAGACTTTGGCTTTTTGGAGGAACGGCCGACGAAAAGGAGAGAGTTCAAGCATGGCGAGTTGCACAAGTCAACGAGTGTCAGATGTTACCTCTGCGATCCGCAGAGGAGTCAGGTAAGGGATTATGCCCGCCCGACTACCTTTTCACGAGAGAACCAAACCTCATCACCACCGGAGACAAGTGGCTTCCAAAACCAGTCGGCCACTTGGTTGACGTGCGCGCCGGCAGCAGGCACCTGGTCCATAGCACACGGGGCCCAGCTTGCGGACCTAGGCTCACAGGTGAGCGTCTCAAGATCCCAGGAGGCACCCTGTTGGAAGATGGGACGGGTCTGGTCCGTCCTCTCCTCCCAGAAGAGGTGTGGGAAATGCAAGGGGGCCTCGCAGAGGATTGGCGTTCCGCCGACTCGAAGAGAAAGGATCGCATGATAGCAGCTGCAGTCCGGGAGCCAGGCTGGCAAGTGGCTATGAGTCTCATGCAGGCTCTGACTGGAACCGATGGGAAGGCAGGAGTCCTGGACCCCGATGAGATCCAAGCCCACGAGCAACTAGAGGTCTGGCTGCGAGCGTGGGGGAGGAACCCGAAGGCTCCCTCTTCCGAGCTTTTCCTTACTTCGTGGAAAGAGCCACGTGTGGCAGTGGCACCCACTCATGAGTTCGTGGGAGCGACAACCCAGGCGAAAGCAGGCGGAGGCAAACGCACCACCGTGAAGCCAGCACTCAGTGAAGTGGAGAGGCTGGTCCAGCCCGCATCCAAAAGAGGCGGGACTACTGGGACCCCCCGCCCCCGAGGAGGGAGCACAGCAGAGCTTGACCAGGTAGCCATGGAAGCTGTCTTGGCCAAACTGGCTGATTCAACTCGCAGGGTCTATGCATCAGGCTGGAAGCAATGGGCGTTGTACAATGCCAGCTCGGGCACTCACCCGTTCCTTGACGGAGAAGAGCGCTCCGCTCGGACTGAAGACGAGCAGAGGTTGATTCGGTTTGTAGTATTTCTACATCAAGTCATGGGAAGGTCCATAGGTGGGGTCAGACAAAGGTTGTCAGCCATTCGTTATGCACATGTTGCGGCAGGATACCCTGATCCACTGGTCGGGCGACCTCGGTTGTGGGCAGCGGTTGCGGGTCTACAACGTTGGGAAGGCGCCCCAAAACGAAAGCTCCCTGTTACCCCCAACATGTTGCGATGGTTGGTCCAGCACTTGAAAAGTAGCGGTTTATCAGTTGTCGATCAAACCATGATCAAAGGAGCCCTTCTTACAGGTTGGTTTTTCATGATGCGGGCCAGTGAACTCTTGCCCAGTACCAATGGAGAAGACCCCATGAATAGGGCGCTCCGCCCAGCTGATGTTGCTTTCTTTTCGCATGGGCAGCCTACCATAGGCGCCAAGGCCGATGAAGTCGTAGTGCAGATTAGATCTTCAAAAACCGATCAGTATGGTAGGGGCCAAACACGGTCACACCACCGCTCCGGTGGAGATCTCTGCCCTGTTGAAGCCTTAGCCGCGCTACAGGTCCTACAGCCCCATCGGTGGCGCAGCCCTGAAGACGAGGCGCCTTTGTTCCGCTATGAAGACGGGACGGGGCTTGACAGAGAGGGCATCACCCATTTCATCAAGATAGCTGCATTGGCCGCCGGGTTTCCTGGCGAACTCGCTGGTTCACACTCACTACGTAAGGGGGGAGCCACTGCATTTTTCGCAAGTACTGGGGACTTAGAAAGGCTTAAGAGGTACGGTGATTGGTCATCCGATGCTGTTCATGCTTACCTTTATGAAGATCATACCGCTCAGAAAGGGATTTCAGAAGGGATGTTGGGTACCAGCCTCATTACACTCCCCAGCCAAAAAGACCCCGGGGTCCGTAGGCATCCAGCGGTTGTTCCAACTGAACCCCAAGAGTCCTATCCTGGTTTATTGGGGGTCCCTCAAGATGAGTTATTCCGTAACAGTCATGGAGGATCAAACCCTTTTAGCAGCCCAGTTGCCACGAAGCGAACATCCAGAGCTCCTCGAGGCTCAAACACCAATCGTGCATTTTCGTGGGCACCAGATCGTAAGGTATCGTTTGCAGTGAAGGCTGGTGCTATGGATGCTACTGATGAAAGTGCCGATGGGGGACGAAAGCCAGCAGCTCCAGATCGAGCCAATGCAGCGAACCTCTTTGTAGCAGCTCACCCAGGACTAGATCTTTATCAATTCCTGGGTGTTCCACCCGGTGCGACTCCAGCTCAGGTGCTCACCGCATATCGTCGCAGGTCCCGTGAGACTCATCCAGACCGCTTTGCAACTGCTGGGGAAGATGTCCAGAAAGCCAAAGGAGAGGAGTTTAAGATGTTGGGAATGGTCCGAGAGATCCTCTTGGATCCACTGATGGCCACTCAATACATGAGGTGGAGACAAGAGCAAATTGCTGCAAAGCATGGGCGAGGCCGTTCCCCAGTTGTTCCAGCTGGTGTCTATGCCAAGCAAGCTTCATCATTCCAACAAGCCAGATCAAGTTTTGATCGGTCCTCCACTCCTGCTGGCGCAGGAGCCAGCAGCTCGGGAGGAGCAGGCCGGGAGGTGCCTCGTAAACCGCCCCCCCCTTCACAGGGATATCCTGGAGGAGGAGCGCAAGGAGGACCGCCCCCAGCCAAAGCCCCTCCTGCTCCAGCAGGGACCGCGCAAAAGCCAAGGAAACCTCCACCGCCCGCGAATCCGCCTACTCCGAGCTCAAGTGCGAAGCCAAGGAAAGCACCGCCACCAAGAAATGATGATGGGAGGCCCAGAGGACCTACCACCCCACCAATGCAAAAAATGGCACCCACGCAAGCTATTCCAAAGGGAGCACCGCCAACACCGGCCAAGCATTTCCCCAGGGCGACCCAACCATACACTGGAGGGGGCATGGTGGACGATTTGCGAGTTCCTCGCATCGCACTGGCAGATGCAGGGGTGAAACGATCAGACGCTCCGTCTGAGTCTTGGTGGTCAGAGACGTCATCCAGATATAGGGCCCCTTCGAGCTGGTTGGAGCCCGGGTCTGAGCCTTGGGTCGAAGATGACCTTCCACCGGAGAGCACCGTCCCAGACAACGAGGATGACTATGTGTATGTTGAGGTGGAAGCTGAAGACGATGACATGGACATCCTCCAAGACCACCAATTCGATGAAGAAGATTGGGACGAGCCGGCATGGGAAGAGCTCCCTGAGGAGGGGACCGGGTCTGAGCAAGTCTTCCAAACCTTCGATCAAGCCGTGATGCAAGGACTGCTCCAGTTCATGGATTTCGTGAACAGAGGACGGGCCAAGATGCTGATTGAAGGTGCTCCACCTATGACTTCTGTCCCAAAAGAGGTCCGGGAGGCATGTTTGGGAGACCATCCGGGGCTTCTAAAAATGCATCCCAGCGCAAAAGCATGGCTAATGGCAGGGACGAAAGGTGTCGAATTCAAGAAGCCACCACCTCCTAAGCCTCCCATGCTTTCGGCTCCCCCAAAGGTGGCTCCGCCGCCACTTCCAAAGCCAGCTCATCCAGAACAGGTACCTGAGCCAAAGGAGCCGCCGAAAGCCCTAGCCCCCAAACCAGTTCCTCCAGTGCTGATGCAGAAGACACCAGCACCAAAGAAGCCCCCTCCGCCACTGCCAGCAGCCAACTATGCCATGCCGGCAAGAGCTATGGGACTCGGTTCAGGCGCAACAGCATCATCTTCTGAGGGCGCTCCGCCCACTGAGGTGAACCACTTTGGGTTTGACGAGTCTGAAGTCGACTATGGTGATGACGATGATCGAACCCCTGAGGAGAAGGCAGAAGATGAGGAGCTGCTCGAGAAGACCAAGACGAAAGTGGAAGCTTTCCTGCGAGCACCCCCAGAGATGAGGAAGACGCTTCGCTCCCAAGCATGGAAGCGGTGCAAGAGCAAACTGGAGGAGCTCAACTTTGAGTTCAGCACTCGTCCACTGCCCGAAATGCACCCAGGCAAATTCGAGAAGGATCTCAAGGATGGCTTCACCTATGCGGAGGCCAAACAACGCCAAAAGGGCCGGCAACGGGCCGCCCGACATCAGCGAGCCTTGGCTGAAATGGAGGGTGCCTCCTTTGAGGATTTCCCGAAATCCTGGTCACATGGGTATTCCAAGCAAGTCCTGAAGCCGGGTTTCCTCGAAGAGAAGAACAAGGAGCGGGCCCGCCGAAAAGCTACAAAGGCCAACTATCGATCCGATAGATCACGCAGCACTCCACCACCTCGCCAGTCAGCTGCTCCAGCTGCTGCATCCAACCAGGCTGAAGCTGAAAGCACGGCCAACTGGGAAGCAGGAAGTCAATGGCACGACTGGCAAGCGAGACGCAGCAGTGAGTGGCAACGGCATCAACCAGATGTCACACAACGGAGAGATGCAAATGCCGCAGACGATGACAACTGGGGCAACTGGACCAGAGATGGGCAACGAGGCAGCAACCAAGATGGCTGGTCCAGCTATGACTATGGAAACCATCAGGATCGACAGTGGAACCAGTGAGACTTTGCCGTGGCAATTCTGCATTCATCCGTGTTCCATGGAGGCTTCAACGTACAGGTTGCCTACTGAGAGCCGGGGAATGTCTGAGGCAGCCTTGATTCTTTGTTTCACGGTCGATACCATGTGGGTTTTCTTTTGCATGTCCATTGTAGATTTTTATTTGGCGGATGCCCATGCCTATTTCGGGGGGATATGCCGCTGACAGAATGTCGGCTGGCAAGTCTCTCTGGGTGAGTGGTTTGTACAGAGACTGCACCACTCGTCACAGACAAAAATAGGAGTCGTGAGCGCTCCGCTTGTTTTGGTAGCATGTCTCTAGCTAACTTGGATGTTCACTAGAACGGAGGGTTAGCGTGTTTTGCTACTGTCATTTTGGGCTCAAGTCTTTGCCCATTTTGATTGTTGGCCCTCCCACCCACCCGGGGGGATATGCCGCTGACAGAATGTCGGCTGGCAAGTCTCTCTGGGTGAGTGGTTTGTACAGAGACTGCACCACTCGTCACAGACAAAAATAGGAGTCGTGAGCGCTCCGCTTGTTTTGGTAGCATGTCTCTAGCTAACAATTCCCTAGCTTGGGGAGCCCCCACGGGGGGGAAAAGTGAAAATTCCCTAGCTTGGGGAGCCCCCACGGGAGGGGAAAGTGAAAATTCTTAGCTTGGGGAGCCCCCACGGGGGAAAACCACCCTTAGCCCCTCTCACGGACCGAAATAAACCTGCGGTGTGGGCGGCCACCCCACGCGAAGCGGGGTGAATATCAATCACAATCAGGATCAAAGATTATCAAAGCCCATGACGCCATGATTGCGGGTTCCAATGAAGTTTCAAGCTCTGCATGGTTGGTTTTAAAAAAGAAATTATTGGATCTCCAGGTTATGAAATGTTTTGAATAGTTTGTTGCGAGAACATGGAAAACCCCATGTCTAAGCATGTCCAAGTGTCTTCCCCATTGTCTGAACCAATGTTTTGCCTGGTGGTTTGGGGTGTGGTGGTTCGGAATTCCAATGGGGATGGAATATATCCACTGTTAGTGATACATCCCATTTTTGTTGGTTGCATTCGAATCCATTGCTGCATAAAAACTTCCCAATTTTGATTTGTGATGGTTTCCACATGTGTTAGTTCGTTGAAAACCCTGTGTTTGTTGATCAAATGCTCTGCTTAAGTTTAAATGGTTCGATACCCCTTTTGTTCAACCACCATGTGTTTTGCAATTTCTTTGCCACGGTAGATTCATTATGGGTATAAACCTTGGCACATGGTGACTTTACCAATCAAAAAGATTTGGCTGGTATGTGCTGGTTAATAATTGGTTAATTGTGGGGAAACCAACATTGGATTATGGGTTTTATGGGTTTCCCTCGCAACTGTAACGTTCATCCCACGCCAGAGCTAACCGAGAAAGAACCGTTCAGTTCCCAACGAGTCGTCGCCTGAAAGTTCTTGAAGCGCAGCACCTCGGCACCACGGAAGCAAACATGGGAGTTGCCAAGAATTGTCTCATCGGATGTTTTTTTGGCATTTAGAAATGGGTGGTTGGGGGACTCAAAACATTTCACCAACCTGCCCCAACCTGGGCCCTCACCATTTCACCGCCATTGCCCGCTGGGCAACATCGGAGAGTGTCGTCCAAGGTCTGAGGGATGTTGCGCTAGCTGGGAAGTTAATGACTGAACGGAAGTTGTTTTTTGCTAGTCAGTTGGTGATATCTTTTATATCTTTTCGAGGAAAAAGATTCTATAGTTTCTTATTTTACTGCTTTCTTCGACAACCAACTGTTCATCCGAGCAACAAAAATATGTGCTGGAACAATAAACAGGTGAATTGAATGGACATTTGTTGTCCAGAAATTATTATATAGTTGTACGAAGTCGTCTAAATTTCCATCCGTTTCCCATGTCGAGATCTTCATCACCATGCTCAAAGAACCATTGGAAGGGGCCTTGTTGATCAGAATTCAAAAGGCATTCTGATCATTCTGAAAATATGTGTGAACCCAATAATGATGCATTTGCAACCGGAAATGGAGGTGGGATCATCATTAGGCGGTTTTGATGGTCTGGTGGTGTTCCCTTTCAAGAATGAACAAGTGTGAACAGTGTTCATTTTCGAACAAGGCATTGTGGAAAGGAAGATGTTCATATTTTGTCATGTTTGTTTACTTGAGGCTACTGCAATCCATTGCAGTGGAAAAATCCAATAATTTCTGGTTAAATAAATCCGCAGTGTTGTGCGGAAAAAACGTGCACTTCTTCTGGTGAGATTCCCAGTCTCCCTGGTTCGACTCCGTTCCTGCTGTTCAACACCTTGATTTCTGCTACAGCAATGCCACAGTTTGCCATTTATGGTAAAAATGGTTTAAACATGTGGGAACCCGATCTGGAAGCACTGGAGGCGCTTGAGGATCCCTACATGTTTTTTGCTTGAATGCTATCCATTATCCTTGATGCTTTGGAGTTATCATTCTCACAACTGTCAATATATGTCAATATGATCATCATCATGTCTTACCCTCTGGTAATTTAACATAACTATGGAAAAACAAACCATTTTTCATGGGAAATTTCACTATAAATGGTGATTTTCCATAGTTATGTTAAATTACCAGAGGGTATCCTATTGGTATCCTATTCTTCTCCTTTCGGTCGTTGAGATTCGGCCTCATCCCATCCCCATGGCCTCATGGTCGGCCGCTGGGCTCAGCTCCGGAGGCTCTTGATCTGAGCGGCGGAAAGCTGCGGAAGCGGCTTGGGACTTGGGATATTTGGATATACCATCTGGTTATTTAACATAGCCATGGAAAATGGCCCATTTATAGATGGTTTACCTATTATAAATGGTGATTTTCCATGGCGAACTGTTAAATAACCAGAGGGTATTTGGGATGTTCAATGCTTTCAGCATCTTTCAGCGAGTGTGGGATGGTTGGGATGGTTAGGAAAAATATGAAAATTATGATAACAAGCAGTGAATAATACTCTACATTAGTAAATATAATGGTATGTAACAACATGTAAGAATAAGAGGTTGGTGGGCCATTTTTCTCAAGTTCACCCGCGCAAACGAAGAAGCTCCAATTGGGATGGTTGAAATGGGACACGCTGGTAAAATTGGTGATGGTTTGTGGTGTTGACAGTTTACCACACTCAAAACCGATGAGCCCACAATCATTGGCAAACAGTAAGTGATGAATAGACTTCACATCTGGCGAATCAAGATTTTCGGGCAACAGTGACCAATTCGTAATGATGTCATCAATCATGAAGCCAACATATGAGTAACATTGAGTAACTATATGCGATAGGTCGATGGCTAATGATTACGTTCAGAAATGGGTAGGATAAACATCATCCACCCTACATGCAACCACATACCGACAACCGGGATCACCGACTTCGATTGGCTCAACAAACCAGAATCAGCATAGGCCCATCATTTTGCAGGTGATAATTTCCGTGGCTGAATACAGTTTATATGTTCCGCAGTGGGAGAGAAATTATATCTATGTGGCAGGGCATTGCTTTCATGTCACTTTTCTGAAACTTTTGTTCTTGGATTCCGGTACTGTTCGGTGCTGGATATAAATACTCCGTGCCTTTGTCTCTGAATATTGCCTGCAGTACCTGGTGGTTTAGGGGTGGTTTGGAATCCTGAGGATAGCACCAGAATACCCTTCGGTAATCAAGCATGTCTGGCTGGGATGTCCCACTGTTTTAATGGGAACATCACATCCGATTAAAAACCGTCGCCAGGTTGGACCGGTTGAATCCCAAGGGTTGGTGACATGTGAAAACCATATGTGTCTTGCTTAGGCTTACAGTACATCTCAGGATATCTCAGGGCTATCGCAATTGGAGTCCACGAATCTGAGCGCAGCACCAACATCACATCCATCAGGACCCACCTGTGTAGCTGTAGTGAGTCACTCTCTGGCTACAGACTGTTGCCAGAAACTTGTTCTTACCAAAAAAGAAGAAGAACAGGCCTCCGCAGAAACCGTGTTTTTCCTCCAAGTTTTACATCGACCAATTTTTACACCAACCAGATCTTGAACCAACCAGTTCTTGCACCAATCAACTCTTACACCAGCCAGCCTTTTCACCAACCAGTTTCTTGATCATGCACAAAACACTTGGATAGAACAAATGGATGTTTTGAAAATATCTCGCTGTGTGCAGGATTCTTTGGGATTATTCACCTATGGACAAATTCGATATCTACCTTCTTAATCACACCAAGTATGGTGATGGAACTAGTCTCTGGTGGGGTCTATCGAGTCTATCGTACTGTGTTTTGGCCCTGTTCTACCGTTAGTGATTTTTTAGTATGTGTGATCATCCTCATGTCATCCTGCTGGATCATATGTCATAAATACAAAATGTGCTTGAAAACCATGTTTTGATGTTTTTCTTCCATGTTAACTGTCAGCAATTTCATCTCCAGGATGCACATGATCCAGCTGATCAAATGACGGTCACTGTTGGGTTTTGTCTGCTATGATGTAGCTTTGCCTTCTCAGACGTTTGTTGGTGATATCTCCCAAATTACTGATTCCTATTGTGCTTCTATCATCATCAAATCCTCATTGGATGTGCGGGCCCCTCGATCTCTGGTTGAAACCATGCCGATCGTAAGTCCAACCCCGTTTCTGTGGTTATCCCACTGTATACCTGGTTTCTCAATGTGCCCAGGATCAATCAACGGGCGATGACCAAGAGTGACAAATTCGTATTGGAAATGGTGCCCCAGCATAGAAAAATAAGCCAAAGCTTCCTGCTAATCTCATTTTCGAGAGTGAGCATTCTTTACCCATGATTCATGATTCAGTGGAATAGTTACATCACAGTATGAACCATGAATCAGTATGAACAATCACTATCAACCATCATCATGGACCATCTGTACTGCATTCCATCAAAAAAGAACGTCACGAATCAAAATTGAATAGGTAATCGAACCGTCTACAGTATATACATATATACACATGTATTCATCGAACCACCTATGTATATATATATATATACGTATATATGTGCTTAAATTATATATATGTGTGTGTATTCATCTGTATTCCATGGTTATTACCGTCAATGAAATCAATGAAGCATCGATGATTCTTCAGAGTTGGGATCCCATCGATTACCACCTGAACCGCCCACCAATCATCGCCTGAACCTCCAGGCGCTGTAACGGACCGCCGCCTCTCACCTCGGTAGATCACTCCTGAAAAGGACGCCTGACCGGCGGGCTAGAAACAATTGAAACTCCAGTCAGTACGTCGTTCAAAGCGCATACATACGTGTGTATGCATATATATATATAATCAATTCATAATAATATATATAATATATATATATGTAATGAATCACTATTGATATACAAGATGGGGGGTGCCCGAAATTAATTCACCCAAAAACTGCTCTTGGGCAACTCTGAGCAAACCTTGCGCGATGCAGCCTTTAAACCACTCCATGGTTGATAGAACAATGCCCCTACTAAATTCTACGACGGCTCTCAAAAAATAACTTATACATGTATATATAATATTATATAATACCAACTGGGATGCACAGCAAAGTAGGAGAATGGGTATCTTTCAACCAAAAGTGGGGTTGAAACCAAGAAAAATGGGGATCTATCAAGTGTTGTTGTAGTACTGTAATGATGGAGTTAGAACGGGACAACCATGGCCAAGCCCAGCAGAAACTTCGCCACAGGTACCTTTGTCAAGTTTATTGGGTACCTTGTGCCCTCCGGAAAACACAAACATGGCAGTGGAAGATCTACCATGTGCAAACGATTTGTCCAAATTTCACCGGGAAATTCTCAGGCATATGTACCAAAGGCTGCTCGTCCAAAGTTGAGTGGCAAGACATCACCGATCAAAATCCCCAGCTACAAAAGCCAACTTGAATCCTCCAAATTGTCTATTGATATTTTGGTTTATCTGTGAAAACTAACGTGGAACCAAAAAAAGTCATGTTGAATAGGAAAATCCTCTTCCCAATCGGGGAGAGTTCATGATGTTCCAGGCTCGTTGTCATGGCCAATCCTAGATACCTTGCCATAAAAAACAGGTTGGGCGGCTAGTCTGTTTTCCTGTTTACTTTGTATACCTTTCTTTTGATAGTCACCCCAATTAAACACAAAAAATCGACCGCCGCACCAAGAGGCTCGGAAGGCGCGACAGTTCAGCAGCTTTCCGCGCGCCGAAGTCAGGCGACGGAGCACGGCCTGTAGGACCTGGCGGTCCAGGCGGCGGATGACGGGTGGATGTTTTGGAGGCCATTTTTTTCAGGGGTATATACCCTCTGGTAAACTAACATAGCTATTGAAAATGGCCATTTATATAGTGGATTTTCCCATTAAAAATGGTGATTTTCCATAGCTATGTTAAATTACCAGAGGGTACGGTATATGCGATTCCCTCAAAAGTAGCATGGATGGAATCCATGTATACCACTGTCCCGTGGCTGCCACCAATTGTACCGCAGTCTGATTCCATGATTTCTTATCGTAGGTTGTTTGATTCCACCATTGGTTGAAAGAAATGGCCATATGTATGGCTTGACTCGGCTCAACTCCCATGAACTCAAAGGTCCCTAGTAACACTGTCCCGGCAGGTGGTGGGAGCAATGTACCATACGTGAACCTGTCTCTGATAAATCGTGTCATAAAAATATGGTTTCCTTATGTTTCCTTGTTGAAATGATGTTAAACTGGTGCTAAAACGATGTTAAAATGGTCATGTTGGACAAAACTCATAGTCCCCACATGTCCCTTAAATTCTCCAAGCCCTCGCCTCTGAGGGATCCATGTGAATTGGCAAACCGCGAAGCAGTAAGGACCTCTTCAAACCTCGCTGACTTCATGGTTTCATGGAGATTCCCGTCGGGTGGTATACCAATATAATTAACAGTATACCATAGTATAGCCCTGGTAATTATTGGTGATTGTTTCCAACAAGCTAGGTGAATAACCCCCTACTCTTCTCAACTGGGGGTCTTGAAACCGCCCAGTTCCCTGCTGGATCAGTGGCTACGTCCCTCGGTCGCCGGGGGGTTACTGTCATGGCTATTCGTCCTGTGAGTCAGAACCAACAATTCCTCATCAAAGCAGGAGGAACCAGATGGTATAACCACATATCATCACAATATCAACCAACCACAGTTCTTTTGTTCTCAACTGAGCTTTGAATTAGAAGTGGGTTACAGTATATATATATATATATGATACACTGACATGAAGAAAAGCCCGTTCAAAGCTGCAGTCGGGTATAATTATGCCGAATGTGTACCAGAAATGTGCGCTTAGTTGTGATCAAACTCCAGCACCATCAGCAAAACACAAACGGTGCTCTGGCTGAAAGAGCTTACCGGACTGGCTCACCCTGCATAAAACTGGTTTGACTAGGCTGGTTTGAGTCGTCGACAGCATGCTAGGCATTATTTGTAGGCTATCCAATTCCGCTTGTTTCATCGGTAATTGGAGCTCTATGCCTCTTCGTGAATGTATAGTTAGTACATTAAGTACAGCAAGTATGGAGTAAGGATAAACCCAAAGTTATTCCTGGTCTGAACCAGGAAGTTAGCAGTTTCCAACATCCCTTTCATCGTCTTTGCATGATTAATCATGATCCCCGTCGAGCGTGCATGATCTGAGGCAACCATTCAGACGACTGGATTTTGGTTCAATGTCAACATCTCTTGCTGGTCAAGAAATATCATTTTTTTGCTGTAATGTCCCCTCCCATGCTTGAATATGTATGTATATATATATTATTATATTATATTATATTATATTATATTATAATTATATTATATTATACTATATTATATTATATTATATTATATTATAATTATATTATATATATGTCTCCTTTCTTGTGAGTGAATCATATTTGGTCATATAGCTAAAATCCAAAACCCGGTATATACACAAAACTGGACACAGGGCCAAAATGTGTGACATGCAAGGGTTGATTTTCCGAGTAAAAACAACGGAAAAAAAAAAAACAGAAAAGGCAATGATGTTCGCCTCACACACATCAAACTCTAGCAGTACGCAAAAATCAAGACCTAAGAATACCACATCAATCCAGAATCAAAAAGATCTGGTTACATCTGGCAATACCCTCTGGTAAACTAACGTAACTATGGAAAATCACCATTTTTCATGGGAAAATTCACTATAAATGGTGATTTTCAATAGCTACGTTAAATTACCAGAGGGTATGTTTTTCCATTAAAACATCTGATCCGTGACCTGGTTCGCGCCTTAAAAATGCCGATCTTTCGCCGTAACCAAGTCACGGAGATCTTGCGGATAGGTGGGCCGCGCCACGGTTTGGAAACTCCATTGCTTCCTCAGGAGCTGTTCCTTGAGGATATCCCAGACATCTTTACATTAAAAAAACCAAGGTTTCCCTGGCATTCCCAGCAATAGTTTGTTGCTTTGCCATTGTTGGTTTCGCCTGGCTGATTTCCACCCACTTGACAAAGATGATCCCAATGAGATATGGGCATGTTGACTGGAGTCATGGGGTACCCTTAAAGAACCATGGACTTAGTCATTTTTGTTGGATCTAGCCGTTTCCCAAAATGGAGTCCATGTATGTGTATACTGTATACATGTGAACCATACCCAGCTGGGGGATCCTTCGCAATTTGTTTTTGGGCGGAATTTTGGAAACTACCCACCTGGAAACACTACAAGTTACTGGGAGCACGATTTTTTGCTGGATTTCAACAACAAACAAATGAGATACATAGGTGCTGGGTACATGTTTCTGTTGTTGGATCTTGTTGGCATCCCCGTGGCATACGAAAGCGAGTACTAGGCAGTAGTTACTAGACCTCTCAAGAACAATAGCCTGTGACATGATCACCATCACCATTATCATCACTATCATCAGTATCATCATGATCATCATTATCATCATAATATATATTTATCGTTGTCATCATTATCACTATCATCATTATCATCATCATCATCATCATCATTATCATCATTATCATTGTGATCACCGTGATCATCGCTATCATCACTATCACCACCATCATCACCGTCATCATCTTGTTGTGACAAGGAAAACGATGGTATCATTTGACAATGATGATATCATTACCATCATCACAATGATAATGATAATAGCAATGACTGTCTGTGATATTTATAACAACAAACTTACCTGACCATTCCCAGTGTTACAGGTTTCGCCCAAAAAAATGTGAGCAACTAAAACCAGTTTTGATCATACTGATTGCCTACTTCCAGGGAGAATCCCAGGATTTTTTGTTCAAAAAAAAAGAAACCTGGAAACTATGAGGTACTGTAAACATCATTGGCGACAAGAAAGACTATCTGGGGGCTCTTGATTGTTCCTATATAAAATGATATCCCACTTTTGACCGCGCTATAAGCATGATTCAATGAATACAATATAATGGAGATCAGCACTTCCGTGGGTGAAGGGTGCTATTTTGATTTTTTGTTGCTCAAAATGTTCATCATCGCCGCTCCCAATACAACCCATTTTCGAAACGATCATCCACGAACATCAAGCAGTCATTCCCATGGACCATTGCCAAGCGTATTGGAAACTGCTCAACCGAAATTTGTTGCCCCCCTGAGCCCAGCACGAAAGTTTAACTCTCTGCACCTGCGGCGTGACCAGCAGCGGAATGGCTACAAGTCACAAGCATTGGGAAGGGGTGCTACATGGCGAAGTACATCCTGGAATCTCATCCAAAAAGAACGAATGTGGCCAGTCTCACCGGGTTGGATTTGGTGACATTCTGGTGGAATCAGGTGTGTTTTTTACTTTCATATCAGCGGGCTCAAGCGTTGTTTGACCGCAACCATGCCATGCGCAGCCTCCGCATGGGGAAGCACCAAGAACAGTATGGTATTGTTCCATGGTTGGTTCTTGGATACTCGGAGTTCGCCCGTCCAGTGCGTAAATACCCCTAAAATTGCCTTCGTTCGTGGAGGAAGCACAGACAACAGGAATGGAAGAGAGAGACGCTTCCCCAAACGAGCCCAAAACAGCCGCAAATCCAAGCAAAGTGCCTAAATTGTCTTCCTTCGCTGAGGAAGCACGAACAACAGAAACGGAAGAGAGAGAGAGAGAGAGACGCTTCCCCCAACTAACCCGACAAAGCCGCAAATCCCAGCAAAGTGCCTAAAGTGTCTTCGTTCGTTGAGGAAGCACGGACAACAGAAACGAACGCGAAACAGCCAAAACGACACCGAATACAGCCAAAACAAACGCGGAACATGCCGTGTCATGCAATGACGGATTTGCTGTTCTGAGCCGTTTTCGGATAGCCCGCGGAACCGAACCGAACCGATTCCTACCTATTAGGAACCAAACCGAACCGAACCGAACCGCATGTTGTGGCTATCCACTTTTGTGCTGCTGAGACGTACTCAAACAGCATGCAACCGGAAACTGTGAGAGTGATCCGGGAGGCAGCCAAGGGTAAATGCAAGGCTATGTTGGGAAAATTCCACCAGGAACAACAGAGTTTCGTTGCTTTCCAGGCTCCTTGACGCTGCAAAGGTGCTGTGTGGGGCTACGGGCTTCCATGGACACCTTCTCTTTCGCCACTGCTTTCGTGGGACTTCCGCGAAACTTTCGCACAAAAACCTTTGCAAAACACCCAAAAATCAACACCCTGAATCGTGGTTGGGGATCCAGCTCCACTTGATTGCGATATAGTACTTGGGTCCTATGCCTCCCACTACTAATTCAGAAGGTGTTCACTTCACCTCGGAAAATAAGAGGTTAAGCCACCTCAGATAAACGTTCGCAATATCTTTGCCCAAATAAACATTTACTCAGAAAAATCTTTCCCGGAGTCTTATGTTGTAACACTGGCGGCCTTTGTAATTAACAATCCCTACCAGGACCTTTAGATCGACTTCCATATGAAATCTATTCTGGTTGGTGGTGTACCTACCCCTCTGAAAAATATGAAAGTCAGTTGGGGTTATCATTCCCAATATACGGAAAAATATAAAATGTTCCAAACCACCAATCAGGATTATATATTCTCTGCTTATATAGTCAGAGTGCATTTGTATGCATTTGTGTCTTATAGATCAACAATACTCAACCAAACAATAGAGGCACCTCATTGATGAGGATGCCGTGCAAGCGACACCTCGGCGAGAAAATAATAAGAGCCAAGGGGCAGCTGGTGTCGGCTGCCAGAACCATCTTTTAAGAGACGGGATGCCAACAAACATGAGGGTTGAACTGACAAAAAATGGAGGTTCTGAGGTTAGATTGTAAGATTTTGACGTTCATCAAGAATCACTCGATGTGAGACCATGTACCTCAGGATAAAACCAGCTCATTTTGAATTTCAGGCAAAACGTGTGGTGTTCAACTTTCAACCCACAAACAGCGGCAATATGTGGCAAGCGCAATTTGTTCAATCTTGAAGATATGATAATGCACACAAGTCAAGTGTCCTCGATATGTTACAGTAAGTTGCTTGCCTTCTATTCTGTGCTGACTGTACTGGGCATGTGGGAGTGATAAGGAGCCCTGATAAATCATGAGAAACGCTGGGATTGCCAAAACATCAGCAGTTCTTCGCCATACCCATTGCAATGGACACGGGAAAGGACCCGGAAGAGCCGCAAGAGGCAAAGAACAGATCCCGTCGGTAGATGTCGTGAGTCTATTTGAACTATTTTGAACCAGCTGTTTTGAGTGCCATCATCCGCGACACCGTGTCTACACACCGCCACTTTCAACGAGCTGCACCCCCCCAATTCAGCCCCGTTAGCCCCACTTCAAATGGTGCTGAGAGATTGTTTGCTGTATTCCTATGTTAATTGGCCACATTCCTATCAGTTGTTGGATATTCACTCATCAAACCCCAGTCCTTGCTGCTGTATAGACTTGATTTTGAAAACGGTGCCCTGGCAATGGTAAGTTTCCCGTATGGCTTCCCGGTAAATTGTCTCACAAAAATCAGCTCAGCTACTTGCAACGTGACCGATATCGTGGGCATGATCCCTGAGACCATCCCTAGCTGAGGGGTTGATATAAGTGGCATCGCCAAAATTGATGATATTATCAGATCATAAGACTTGTGGGTCCATGAGTCCAATGACTCCATGGTCGATCTGATGTGGACGAAAAATGCGTGTCGGCTTGTTCACAGATCTTCCGATATCTGGCATTTTTTTTTAAAGGCGTTAAACCATGTTAAACCACCATCCAAGGTTTCCCTAGCACTTTGCCAAGAGGCAGTTTCCTCATGGCTCTCTGTCTTCCTGCAATTTCTTTGAATTCGATCAAAGCATAGGACCTGCACCGAGGTCAGACTGACTCAGGTCGGATCGATGGGGCCCAGTACCGAAACGGGCGTGGAGCGCGTGGTTGCACAATCAGATGTTAAAGCTTCGATTTCCATGCAATGGATGAAAAATCAAACCCTGACACTGGAGATGTATCCTTGTGATGAGTATACAAATCCCTATTGATGGATTGATGCCAAGCCCCAACATGGGCGATTTACCCAAGTTTTGACTCTGGCTCTGGCACATGGTTTTCTCTGAAAATATGGTGTCCCAAAATCCACTGGTATCAGCATTTTCCCCAAGTAAAATTGCCAGTTGTTGCCCATGTTTGGACAAAATCCACTGCTTATCAGTGAACCTTGACACTGCTTCACCTGAGCAGCCGTCAATACCATATGGCATCCGTTTCTACTTGACCGTTACTTGGGAGTCCCATCAATTCTCGCAATAACCCCCAATCAGCGGTTTGCCCCCTACAATGTTTCTTTGTGAAGATCCACATCCTCCTGCTGCAACCAAAGAGCAAGGAATACTTGGGAGGAGGCTTCCGCACCAGTTCTCCGTCCTCCGCGCAAAAAAGTGATGGTACATGGTGGAGACCACAAGAGTGAATGTGGATGTGGATCTTGATGTATAAAGTATAAAGAGACATGTATGCATGTACATACTGTATCTCAGCATGTGTCTATGTTGATACTTATATACATCTATGACTATGTATAGATTCAACTATTCAAGGATCCCATTGAGTTTACAATAATGCAACAAACATTACTTTATCCTCTGTGCTTAGGAATGCACTGCGTTGCGATGTTTCTCCTGTCAAACTGCGAGCAACTATCGCTCACCAAGCGCCAGCGCCAAGAGTCAGGCAAGTCCACCGCAATAAAATGTGCCCCATTGGGGTAGTTTTATTCACCACATCCAAATATACACATACATATTCGTACCTATACTGTCTATACTTCTATACATATGTATGAAGTAATGTAAATATATATATATATATGTCGTATGAGTGTATGTCTGTCTGTCTGGCTGGCCGTCTGTCTGGCTCCGCTGTGCGATTGTCTGTCTGGCTGGCTGTCTATCTGTCTGTCTGGACGTATGCATGTGCTGCATGCATGCATGTTGCATGGATTTATGGATGGATGGATGGATGGATCTATGGATCTATGGATCTATGGATCTATGATGATCTATGGATCTATGGATCTATGGATCTATGTATCTATGTATGGATGTATCTATCTATGTATCTAATGTATCTAATGTATCTATGTATCTAATGTATCTATGTATCTATGTATCTATGTATCTGTGTACCTATGTATCTATGTATGGATGTATCTATGTATCTATGTATCTATGTATCTATGTATCTATGTATCTATGTATCTATGTATGGATGTATGGATGTATTGTACATAAAAATATGTTTTACCAGACTTCGTGAGCCAGTGAAGTCGCGTCATCATTTACCCCACCATAGCGCAATCGCTGCCTTCATCATCATGGTGTCCGGGCCTTCCCTGGGCCAGGAAGACCAACAGTAGCAGACATGGGATATGGGATGCTAAACCAATAGAAATCCTTGTCTTTCGCGGGAATCACCGGGTTTCACCAGAAGCGTGATATTTGGAGTAGTTTAACATGGTTTTCGGAAAAGAGGAATACCTACCAAGTTGCGAGGCAAGATTAACTATGCTACGCATAAACCAAGCAAGATGTCTACAATTGTGAGTTGGCTGTTTGGTGGTTTCAACCCCTCTGAAAAATATGAAAGTCAGTTGGAAAAGATTATCCCATATATTATGGAAAATAAATAATGTTCCAAACCACCAACCAGATGGGGTTCATTGGATTTGGATATGGCGAGTGCCATATCAGGCGCACCACCACGTCACCACGCCTTGTTGCCTCAACCATCTCCTTCCACTCATTGCCTCGGGTTGAAGCTTCACCACGAGTTTTTTGGGATGGTGTTTGCCTCCAGCATCTTTTTCCATGGCACTGGAAAACGTGATTTGACTATAGGATTTATCATCTTCAAGTTCTGGATTCAATTGTGTCCAGAAAGTGTTTTTTTTTCTACCATGTTTTTAACAAAAAAAAGTTGGAATTGGGATACCCCCAGTTAAGGGACTTGTCAACCGCAGTTCTTAACTTTGTTTGGCGAGATGATCCGCCAAGTACTGCTCAGCGGATAAAGCCTGCAAGAGTTCTTGGACGATTTTGCTGGAAGGATCTACCTAAAAGGCTGTAGTTGAGCTGGAATCCCATCATGGATTGTTTGGCTCACAACTCACAACACCGCGTAACCATGTCATTCTTGAATCAGATAGTGGAACTCCCATCATCGACTCTGGTTGACTATGAATCTTCCATCAGAATGACTGGAGATTCACCCATGGTCCGTACCATTCAGCGCAATTTCACCGCAACCAAGCGACAGATCTCAACATGGGCAATTTCACCGCAAGCAGTGAGACTAGCCTTCACCATCTCCTCCTGGCTACAGGAAACTCATGGTTTTTATGGAAGATTCATGTAAATGCTCCCTTGAAGAAGCTCGGGGATACGGGCATCCCAAATCTCAAGCAGTGTGAGAATCATCTGAGCACCTGTTGACCCATGTGTGCATTTCTCATGTATAGCACTGGTGGCCCTATCGGCCCAACTAACCCTAGGCGCCTTGAGCTAGTGGTAAAACATGTGCCATGTGCGATTTCTTGGTGGTTCACATCACTGAGTTGTTCAAAAGCTGTATATCCACTGGTTGCTAACCGTGTTAACTATACTAACTATCCAGGGATTAGGGTCTCATCATTGAGGATCCCTGAAGAGAGCCTAGATATGAACGCAGGAAGTCCCCAATTCCTGGACGTATCCTGTGCCAACCCGCATGTCTGTGTGTGTGTGTATTGTATGTATATAATATATATATATATATATATGTATATATATATATAATATATATATATATATTATATATATATATATCATATCATATGCAGATGTATATCTGCCTGTATATACATATGTGCTTAAACTCAACACGGGATGCACATCATCCGTAACAATCGCTAGCCTTTGATGCCCTTCAAAAAGTTGACTCGTGTACAATACCAGATCAAATATTTCGCTACCAAAACGGCTCAAAAAACTATCCGTTCAGCAAGCATTCACCCAAGGTTTGTCCAGAATTATACTCTGTTTGGCTAGGTGAATCCAACTTTTTGCTGGCAAATTCTGGTTGCCAACCCCAAGGTTTACCCATTGTTCATAGTTGAACCTTTTGCGCTGGTGAAATCCCAAATCCACATGGCTCAAACACTCACAAGTCGGTTTACCCAGAGCAACGGCGTCGTTTTGTGATAACTTGAGAAAGCGGTTTGTCGTTGGCCTAATTCCAAACCAACTCAGTTTTAAAATGTTGGTTAACATGCTGCCTAAAACTGAGGTATATGATTCTATTAGATTCTATGATGGTATAATTGGTATATGTATGGCTTACTTGGTTTTTTTTGCATCGTAAATCCAGCGAATCGTTGAAACCTCTGCGGCACCTCACAGGGATCCGGCAAGTTGCTCAAGAGGATACTCGTCTCCACATCCAGAATCCTGCAACCAGCCCAGCATACCCGGCAGACCGTCCAGGTTCTTCAGGTTCTGCAACAAATGGTGGTATCATTCGGTATAATGGTTCACTGGTCCTGATGATTCTTGGAAGTTCGACGTCACCTGAAATCCTGAAATGTGCTTTGATAGTGGTCAACACCCACTATGGGCTATGTTTATAGAGGAAATTTGAAGGAATCCTAATGTTAAATTTCATACTGTGTCGTTTCAGTTGGTTACCACCCCTCAGTATTTGTTGCTTGCCACCCTCTTTGCCATTTTTTGCATAGAGGACATATGCGGCTCATGGAACTCAAATATAACATGTGAACGCACATTTCACAAAATGACAAAAAGATACACAAAGATAACGTGTGTGTGTGTGAACATGTTTTTAAAAAGTTGGGAAAACTTGGAACAGTGCATGTATCCGATCCATTGGGCTCCTCCCCTTTCGCTCAGTTCTTTGGAGTTCACTCTGGTAGTCCACCTTGCCAGGGGCAGAGACGGTGTGGTGGCACCAAAAATTCTGGAAAGGCAAACAAAAATGGGGAAATCATTCGGAAACCATGGGAAATCTATGAAATCCTGTGAATATCTATGAGGAATTGGGGAAATTCAAATTGAAAATCTGTGGAAATGTGTTTTCCCTCAAAAAAGTCCCATTGGGAGGTGCACAGGAGGGTATCCTTTCAAAGGCCGATTTTGAATTTTGAATGCGTAAAACCATTTGTAGGGGACAGAATATCGCTGAAGCCCAATGTTTCAGGCTAAGACTAGCCATTTGCTCAGTTCGACGTTTCCGCCCACTTCCCTCTCTGCCAACCTAGTTACGCTGTATATAGATACGGAGCCCTACTCAAGTCCTTCCAGTGGTTGCCCTTCTCACCTCCCCGGACTTGCCCATTTTACCGACGCATGCAGCTCCCAGAATCGAAGATCACACTGGGCCGAGTTTCCAAATCTGGGGGTTCCTGTAATTTGTTTCCCATGGTTTCCTCCTCTGACCACGATCTCTCGGCTCTGAGAAAAATCTTTTCGGAGCTCCTTCCTTCCTGAAGCTCCAGGTGATACCTACCTATCTGCTTGGTGGTTGAGGCACGGGCGCGTACAATTGGAAATTGAACCGTGTTTCTCATTCCAAATCAATGGAAAATAGAAAAACATTGAAACCACCAATCAGTTATCTTCTTATCTGCAGGATGGAGGAAAGTACCGAGGCAGACTGAGAGGCTCGACGCTAGACAGTTCAGTTGCTGATCTCACAAGCCGGGCACAACCAATTGGGATGGTTTACTCCTAAAAGTTGCCCAAAGTCAGGCTTGCTTATATTCCACAACCATTTTATGTGGTGTCTAACCCCAACAAAATGGGAAAACATGGGAACAAAAAAAACACGGGAAAACTAGCTACATGTACCCCTGAAACTTGTTGGCCTAAGGGCTGAAACAAAAACTTCACCCACGTATCTACCCGTGTTTGAAGCAGCTTAACGCAAAATGCCTCCAAACATGGCTAATCTTAGATCCTCTGCAAAAAAAGTAAAGTGGTGCATTGTATAATCTGCCGCCATTTACAAAAAAAGACCCGGTTTTGTATAATCTACCCAACCAAAGTTTAAAATTACCTGATCAGTTTGGCCATAAAGTTGAAGACGCCTACACAGTCGGGAGCCTTCGATGCACTTGACATTTACCATGGAGAGAACAGAAAGGCCTTGCTTTGCAAGCCCTGCACTCCACGAACTCTGGCTCCTTGGTCAAAGCAAAGACAGCCGAGCTTCAGGGCTCTTCAGCTGAGTTTCTGTCCAGTCATAAGCTCCAATTTTTCCGACCAGTGGCAACTTGACCATGGCACCAGCCTGGCTCATTTGATATATTGTTTGTACACATTTTGAAGAGAAACGTCCCGTTCCAGCTGCTCTCGATACCTTGGGGACGGGCATGGGAAAAGACAAGGTGAAGATGACCGTGGAGAGTGGTATTACAAAACCTAGAGGGTGCCTCAGTAATTACAGACAAAATACTACGTGTAATGTTGGAAAATAATTGTCTCTATATGAGATTAGATAAGAATGCAATGTGAAAATATATTGAAGACAAAACCTTCGAGCAGCAAGTGGTTTTTCGGAATCCCATCCCTTAGACTGTTGGGCCTCAGTTGATGCACAATTCAAGATGCATGTTCTCACTTTAAACATATATCCTCTGGTCCCGTATCTCAAAAATGCGGTGCCAAATGGTCAACAAAATTGATCATCAATCGGACTGTACCAGCACCACAAGAGCCAACGATGTCTTGAATTCTTTTGGAGGAATAATCTGTATCCAGTTTAATCCAGTTGAAAAACAATGTACCTTCTCGTAACCTGTCATAGCTATGGAAAATTGCCATTTATAGTTGATTTACCTATTAAAAAAACAGTGGTTTTCTATATATAGCCAGGATGGTATCCCCTATCCTCCCAACTCCATGCTGCTTGTGGATAAAGGAGGCGATGCTGTCCACGATGGCATGCTGCGCCTACACCGAGCCATGCTGCAGCAGTGAAAAAATCCTTGGGAAGGGAAACTTAGAGGAAACCTCAGGAAATGATTGCATCTTTCTTGCCATTTTCAAGTACAGTATCTTTTGTGGAGAAATATGTCATATGACATATCCCATCAATCACTGAATCAATTCTTTCGAGACTTTGTGGCTTTGTCAATCATCAACTATGTGGGTTTCCCGTGCGTATCCCTTGAACCAAGACTGGATTCGACTTGCATCTAGTTTGCTCACCGTAGATATTAAAAAAGAAAGTGCGAATTCTATCCACCTCATTTTGCTGGACAAACCAAAAGTGTTCGTCTTATCTAGCTGAATTCAAAAAAAAGGCGCAACAGTTGGGAGCCCAAGGCCCAAGGCCAGCTCTTTGCAGAATGAAGGGGTTTTGTTGTTCTTGACCAGTTTGTAACACTGATGTACGAACACATCTGACCATGTGGATCCTGTAAACCACCATCATTCCATATTGTGGGGCTGGGCTTCACCAGTTCAAATATGTTCAAATATGTTCAAGCATGTCTCATTCATAGTCTTATTCTAAGACTTCTGGGTTATATAATGTTATTATATATAGTTACTGAAGCATGTTTCTTATCCCATTTATCCCTTTTTAGCCCCCTTATCCCATGTGTTTTACGCTAAAACCGTGGCAGAAAACCCAGGCTTCGGGGCGCCTCCACCCGATTCTTGCTGTGCTGTTGGTGATCCGCGCGGATGTCTTTCGTGAGCTCCCGCACCTGGCTCCGTGGCGGGGAAGTCTGTGATTTGGAACATTGTTATGCAAAACACATACATATACATATTATTTGTGTATATATATATGTTATTTATGTATTTATTCATTTATTTATTATTTATGTATGTATGTATGTCTGTCTGTCTGTCTGTCTGTCTGTTTGTCTGTCTGTCTGTCTGTCTGTCTGTATTAATGTAATGTAATGTAATGTAATCTAATGTAATGTAATGGAATGGAATGGAATGTAATGTATGTATGTATGTATGGATGTATGGATGTATGGATGTATGGATGTATGGATGTATGGATGTATGGATGTATGGATGTATGGATGTATGGATGTATGGATGTATGGATGTATGGATGTATGTATGTACGTATGTACGTATGTACGTATGTACGTATGTATGCAATTATGCAATGTAATGTAATGTAATGTAGTGTAGTGTAATGTAATGTAATGTAATGTATGTATGTATGCATGTGTATGTGTGTATGTGTGTATGTGTGTGTATGTATGTATGTGTGTGTATGTGTGTGTGTGCATGTATGTATATGTATGTATATGTATGTGTATGTATATGTATGTGTATGTATATGTATATGTTTTTGTATTAATATTAGTATTGAGATTAGTATTATTTTTTGTATATATATATACATTATCTTAATGATATATCTTAATGATATAAATATACGTATGTGTAATATATGATATATTCTTAATTATATATAGATATGCATATATGATATAACTTTACAGTTGTATAAACTATGCCACCAAAATATGCAATGTGTTTTTTTTATTTGATGACTTGGGAGGTTTCATCTTGGCAAACCTCGTGATTTGAGACTTATGATCTGTGAAGTATCGGGAGATCACTGGAAAGCATATGTAGACACGTACATAGATGGTATTTTCAACAGGATTTGACCAGCAACGAGGGCCATGGATAGGTCACATTATTCAGCACTTCAGGTTGGGACCTCCAATTCGAGCAACGGTGGTTCAAGTTAAATGGTTGTTGGATCTACTTGGAAATAGGACGCCACTCGCTGTTCAAAACATGCTTGGAAAGGAATGAAATGCGACAAGATGAATGTTTGCTTGTGTTGAAGTTGGTGGATGGGTCAGAAGCACATTACCATTTACTGTACAGATATAGGGTTCGTTCAACGCCAATGTCCCAGGTCAATAAATAAGCGTAATCCCACGATTACAAAAAATTGTTCAACTGCTATCATAGCTACATTAGCTATATGAATGTGCTAGAACTATACCCAAAAAAACGCTTGAAATTCCAGGGTTAGTCACCACTAGTCACCATCCGGCACCAGGCAGACCTCCTTCTCCAGTTGGTACTGGCTCTTGGCCACCTGCTGTTGAGACGCATCGGCCCACCGCTCGTAGCCTCGTCCCGGCACGAGTTGGTTGTGGATATTCAATGACAATACAGTAATGGATGTGTGTATATATACATATAGTTGATCAGATTATCTTGCTTTATACAATACATATAGCATGTATATATATATAGATAGATATACACAGTAATTATATCCAATTGATCTACTTCAAGAAACTTCCCTTCATTCAGGATTCACTCTCCGCCTTAATCTTACATGGGTGGAAAACCACCATATCTTAACACAATTGATCCGATTTCTGGAACAAAAATAGTCCAACGAATTTAGGGCCAGAATGGGCCAGATGTTTTTCCCACGAACCACACCCCCAGTTCCCCAAAAAACCACGGCCCACGTTCGCCGTGGAGGGGCTCATGAGCTGCTGTTCGCGGTCGAACTTCTCCTCATCCAGTAGAGCATTGAAGGCATGGACCTCGTCCTCCAACAATTTTTCCTTAGGATCTGCGATGCTGCGATGGCAAGGGAAAAAAATGGGAAAAAACACTCTTTCGACCAAAAATGGATCTTTCAGGTAAAATAATGATGTTTGACCCGGCTGAACTCTCCTTTCTGACCTTCCCCAGTTGTCGCAATATCCCAATCTTTTGTACGTAGTTTCCATCCTGTTTTATTTGGCTCAAATCCAAACATGGTTGCGGGTTAAACCTCCATTTGCATACCTCAAATCCAAACTCAAAGTCAAGCCCTCCAATCTTCTAATAGCTTAAATCAGCAAACGAAATCCTGAATTCCACCATATATGGCGAATATCATCTTAAACCCCATGTTTGATGGTCACTTCTAGTTGATCATCCCCTTTTTTGGGGGGTCGTTGCAACATCCGAATCATCCAACTCATTGGTTTCACATGGGTTTCACCCAGTCGGATTCGGGTTGTTAAGGATTGTTAACCTCTTAAGGATGAATAAGACGGCTATCCTCCAAATACTCTACCATAAAACCCTCAATATTGTGGCAACTGGCAAAAGTGACTTTGCCAAACTCTCAATCCATCTTGGTAATTTACCATCCAATATACCCTCTGGTAAATTAACATAGACCCTGGCAGATAGGGGTTGGAAGACTAGTTTCCATTAAAAATTGGCTATTTTCAGGGTCTATGTTTATTTACCAGAGGGTAAATCAGCCAAGCCTTCACCGAGTTCAACGAGTTCCCCTGTCGAGTTCGCCAAGCCTCGCGTCGCACGTCCTGCAGCTGTCGACTGCGCGTCTCCTCCGCCAGGGCGTCGCTGAGGCGCTGCGACTCGTCACGGATGGGGCCCAGGGTGGCCTGGCGAAGCCATGGCGAAGCGGGAGATAAGGAGGAAACACAGATCTGTTTATTTGTACAACATGTACCCTGAACATATGTGATTATCTGAGTATATATATATGTGTATATATATATATAATTTTATAAATGTAAGAGAGAGAGAGAGAGAACAACTATAGATGTCATTATATATATATATGTTGAGATATGCGGATATATGTGGATGTATAGTAGCTGGCTGACACATAGAATATTAACAATCAATTGTGCACTGAGAATATATCAATTATATAGAAAAATTAATTCCTGAGTTTCCTCCACATAGAATATGGAATTTAAGGAAAAAAATACGGAAGACACCTGATTCAAGATGTCTGTACTGCTTGAAGCAAATCCTTGCTCTGCGAAGACGGTGAAAGCCAAGACATCAATAGAAAAATGGCACAAATGGGAAGCTTCGGAAGCACATGCAAAAGTAATCAAAAGTATACCTGGTGAGCTCCAGGAGAGGGGGAAACTAACAAGCAAAAAAGGTTGTGAAAAGGAACTCTGCAAGGACACGATGGAAGTGACACAAGGAACATGAAACGACAAAAATATACACATGAAGGACATGAAGATATTCAATCCAAGCTGGAAGGTAGCAAACAGGATAAACGCCGCAACAAAGAAGCAACAATAGAGAAAGAAAACAAACCACAAAAGAAAGCGGAGCGGAATGTGAATCCACTGAGGCTGATTGGTGGAGAGGGGCCTAAAACATATATTATAATAATATATAATAATAATAATAATAACAATAATTATAATATGTTCCAGCATTTGTTCCAATCTTCATGTTTGACATGAGGCGCAAGCAGTGCAAACAAGTGAAAAAAGCAAGCAGAGGAACAACATTGCTGCTCAACAACGTAGATGTACAAACAAAATAAACATATATAGTTGGGCGATCCTACCATAGACGTTGTTGTCACATCGTCAGACCTGATACTGATATGCAGCATGCCGTATAAATGTGTTCATATGTATACATGTTGATAAGTTTGACCCGAGTATGTCCAACCACATTTAGACAAATGTTGTTTTCACCTAGGGAAATCCGAAAGGTGCTCAAAACAATTACTGTACCATTCAATGTGAATATGTTGAATGTGTACATTGCAATGCAGCATAATTATTTGATTCATGGTCAACTTGCAGCATCTTGTAGTTTCTAATATATTCTATGTGCATCGTGGGCCCCCACATAGAATATTCGTACACCTCGAAAATCAGCACCAAGCAAAAAAGTAATTCCTAAAAATAATCATGTAGTGTGTATTCTAAGTGCTAGCCTTCTAATTACTATAATATATATATAGAGAGAGAGAGATACAGTATATGTGGATATATGTGGATATAATGGTATATAGATGCTTAGTGGATGTTTAATGGATGTATGTGTATATATATATATGTATATATATATAGTGACGGACAATCACTTAGAACGTAAAATTTTTTCCAATTTTTTTTTTCGTACTTAGAACGTAGCAAAATTTCATCACTTAGAACGTAGGGAAAATTCATCACTTAGAACGTCAAAATATCACTTAGGCCCATTTATCACTTAGAACGTAAACCAACACTTAGAACGTGCTAAGTGATTGTCCGCCACTATAATTATGAACAATTACCATATGATATGTATATATACTTGTATATATATAAATACATACATTATAAATGTATATAATATAAATACTTCTACAATCCAAAACCTTCGAGAAAATCGATGAGGTACCCACCGTTTCAAATCAACTGTGATGGTTCCCTTCCATGCACAGTAAACATAACCCTCCAACCTTCAGAGTCCCTGAGTGGCTTCGCTGAGTGCGGCAACATGATTTCACAAGCCTTTCCACTATCATCAGTGACCTAGACACGTTCTAAGTGTTAAATCCCCGGTACGTTCTAAGTGATGAATCTTGATATTTGGACGTTCTAAGTGTATGGTTTTCGACGTTCTAAGTGCAAGGCTTAGAACGTAAAAAAAGCAGTAATATTCAGATTTTTTTTTCCAAAATACGTTCTAAGTGATTGTCCGTCACTATATATATTTTCTGCAATGGGATGCAAATATGGTGGATATACATAAAATATACCATCCTCGCAACTAACGTAGACCATGCAAACTGTTCATCTCAAAAGTAAAGTAGTCTTCGAACCCCCATTTACTGAAGTCTATCGGAAGGAGGAGAGGATATGAGTGGGAGACCACATTGTATATTACCATATATTACCCATAAATGCCACGAGCAAAGCTAGGTCGTCCCAAATCTGTTGTGAAGGTTGCTCTTTGAGAATCCAGCAGGAGAATAGTGCGTGAATTGCAGCAAAGATTATGATAGCACAGTGCACTCTAAATGTGTTTACAGCCCTGTTTATAGCCGTTCTTGTAGAAATGGACAATCTGCTTCGGATCATTGTTGAGGGTCTTCCGCCACCGGTTGTGAAGGTTTTGTAAAGGTTTTGTGAAGGCATGCAGAGGTCTGTAAGAATGTGATAATGTTGACGGATAGTCATACAACGAGTACAGTATGTAATGGGATACAAATCCGGATGTTGAACCCCACTGGAATGCCCTACCTCGATGTGTCGTATCCGATCCTCGCGTTGCCGCACCAAGGCAGCCTTCCACACGAGAAGTTGCTGATCGGCCCCGGCCATGGTCCCACCGTGGTAACGTACTGTTGCAATCCAGAATCACAATTTGAGGAAAATCATCTTGAAAATTCCATGCATAGATCACGACACATTGGCAGAAGTGATCCTGGGACATGTTCCATGCAGCGAAACATTTGGGATACCTGGGATACCTTGCCACCAGTCAGGGACAAAGTCTACGGGCAACTGGAGGTGAGCACAACCGCCATAAATTCATGGTGAAACCACCGGATATCCCCGAAATTTCTAGGGTACAGGCCTCGGCTTCGGTCATCCGATCACCCAGTTCATCCACTACCTGAGCTAGGAGTTTTCCTGCTAACAACCAATAGGTTTAGGGGAAAAAATGGAGAGTTTCTGCTGGTGGTTTCAACGTGTTTTAACAAATACAATGTGGATCTTGACCCACTAAAGTGGGATCTTAAACCCGCAAAAATTGTGATTTGGAGACATGAAATGTTGGATAAGAACCAAGAAGCCCATTCAAAAAACTCTGAAAGTCGTTGGGCAATCATCATCCCAAGTAGGTTGAGAATTTGAAACCACCAGTGAAGGGATCTGTGACATTTTGGAGTTTCCATGTGTCAAATTGGTCACATGGTACAGGAGAATGTACTTCCCTCTGTCACGAAACGGAGGATACTACCAATCAGTAGTTCCCTGATAGCATATTGCCTGAAACCATTCCCTCAAAGCCCGTTTCCCACGTTGCCAAGTTTGGTGTCAGAGTGCTTATTTCTGTTGACGCGCTCCTTGGTACCGGTTGTTCAAGTCACTATTGTTGCTTAAGTCCTCTTCTTTTGGCTCTTGACGCAATCTGCAAGATGTTGGACACCCTCTGGTAATTTAACATAGCTATTGAACATGGCCATAGAAATAGTGAGTTTTCCCATGAAAAATGGTGGATCTTTCCATAGTTATGGGACAGTTTACCAGGGGGTAAAGACCCCATTCTTTTTCATTCTTGTTGGGAGTTCCATCGCTGGAAACGCCGCACCGAGTAGCCGCGTTCATGGCTCCGAAGGCCTCCCGCAGGTCGCGGCGCAGGCCCTGCCGCGCACCGCTCAGCTCGTGTTGAAACTTTGCCTCGACAGAGCTGGGGAGGCCGTGAAAAATGCTGGAACAATTGTGAGCGCTTTTTGAAAGGTGTTTTTTGCAAAATTTCTGGGAATCTTACGAAAAATATAAAGCAAACCACATATATTGGGATTCTTCATTGGTTTCGGTGGATATTGGTGAAATTCCCACCAATAGTGGATTGCTTCGATCACATAGTGACATATCTGGGCTTTTTTTGTCATGCTAATTCCATCGACAATTCCCAAGGTGAAAAAGGTTCTCATCTTTTTGGTGGTTGCCCAAAATATGGGATGAAATACCGGGCAAGCAGGAAAGATCATGGGGAAAAATGCTGGTAAAACTCTTGTTTTACAAATCCGAGGCGTTTTCTATACATCCATTTTCACCAGGCGGATGATCCGAGGCGAAAAGGTCACCGAAATCGGTGATTCGGGCGATCCCATCGTCGTGCCAGGCCACGGTGTAGGACTTCGTGGTGTCCATGACGTGTTTCTTCTTCTGCCTCACCGGCCATTGGATCCGGAGGATCCGTAGGATCCGTGGGCTTCGGACCAAACATACCAAACACCACTGATCTTCGAGAGGTTTGAAGAAACAAGATGTCGTAATGAAGAACAAGTTGATCTTTATTTGAAGAAAATGTTGATATGTCTTGGGGTATATTCAATTACTCGATAACAAAATAAACATCAAGGAACCACCAACCATTCTCCAAAGCTTGGCTCCCAAGAATCTATATAAAAGAGGGGAGACATGTTGGAAGAAGTGCGGAGAAACTGCCATTAGTTGGGGCTCCAAGGCAAGCAGATGTCGACCCCGACCCAGAGATGAAAGGTGCCTTGCTCAGCGAATGCCTGAGCCTTGAGCCTTGAGCCTTGAGCCATCCCTCTCTGAGGCCCTCTCTTGCTGACCCAAAAACTCTAATTACATCCTGAACATCTTAGAATCGGCTCCAGGAGCCCTGAGACACGGGAAGCCAGTGTGCCATGATCAAACCGAGCCCATGTTCAAACCCAGCTGCTGCATATGAGCGCGGCATTTCTTGATCTGCCGCAGGGTTTCCTCAAGCATCTCATTGAGCCTTTTTTGATGGGCATCGCGGTTCTTCTGCGCCTTCAGGTGGCGCTGTTTGGTGAGAGTTGGATGCCATGAAGGATACATAACCAGTTACAGTTACAGTACTAGTTCTTGGAGCTGAACCAGCTAGAAATGGTAGGCAACTGGTGATATGTCGCCTCATGTAATCCATAAGATTTGGATCCAAACTTCAGGGATCCAAGCAGACATGGATGTCGTTCTCTGGTCGGGGATGGGTCATTGGGTCATTGGGTTGGTTTACAAATGACTAGGACTTCAAGTTTGGCACCCTAATGGACTGCTTAGGACCCCCTGCTCTATATCATGGGGATGTTCTTCAATGGCAACGAATCACCACACCAAGATGTCGTCAATCTGCCCATCAAAGACCCCATTACAGTGTTTCAACTGGGGCCTCAAAACACAAAAAGCAAAGATGGACCGTTGCAGATACCAATCTTTTGGCCTTGAGTCCTTGAGTGATTTCGAACATGGGTATGGCTCAAAATGATCGACCCCGCAAACTGAATGATGATTGGATACTAAAGGATTACCGGTACCCCAGTTTGCAGATTGGTACCCAAAGCCATAGCCATGTGCAATGAGTTCTGCCTGCTCAAAGACCGCAGGGGTGCGGGTTACCTCTTCGCTGAGGTAGAACAGCAGTTTCTCCTGCTGTAAATTGCCCCCGTTTCTGGTGGTTTCAACACGTTGAAAAACCCAGATTTTCTGGGGATCTTAGCCACCTTAGCCCACTGAAATGGGATCCGGTTGGTGCTTGAGCCATCCAAGAAATGCCCACCGGTGAATCATCCCACGTAGATGGAAAATAGAAACATGGTTGAAACATGCTTGAAACCACAATCGAGTCTGGGAATTTTAAGGCAGACTTTTACTCCCCAAAAAAATCAGAGATCAGCAACAGATGAGACCAGCACCGGAGCTGGTTTCGTGTCGGAACAGCTGAGGAGATCTGAGGCAGTACTTAGACCCAATCGCAAGTGCTTGGTGAACTCAAGAAATCCTGATGACTTGCTAAGTGGAACGATCTGCCAAGTCTTATACCCTCTGGTAATTTAACATAGCCATGGAAAATCACCATTTTTAATAGGTAAACCCAGGTAAACCATCTATAAATGGGCCATTTTCCATGGCTATGTTAAATAACCAGATGGTATATCCACGAAACACCAACAAGCAAACGATAAAGACTGAAACAGCCATCAACGCTGTAAGAGAACAGAAACGCTTTGATATGCTTTGATAACATGAAGGATGGTCGGATATGTTTGTTCGCACTTGGAGACATGTTTTTCTGCACAACTGTACCCCACACATCTTCGGGATACAAACATGTGTAAACTCGTTTTCTGCTATTGAGACCACCCTTAAAGCTGGGGATTTCAGGATTCAAGTGGTTCATCTATGATATGATCATCGGGTAGTTGGCGGTTGGCAAAAAAACAACGTGTTTGGGAACACACGGTGGCTATGACCTGTGCTATTCATGGATCCAGAATGGTCAGAATGGTGTGGGGTTTGGGGCTCGGATTCTCCTGATTGTTCTTGAACACCCGGTTTCGCCGGTGAATATCTCCGGACCTGAGGCTCCGCAGGCTCCGCAGCTTGTTTCGAATTGGAGGGGTCATGACATGGTCATACCATTTGGCCGGTGGATAGGAGAGAAACTCCTGGGTGAAACCACCCTGCCAGATGGGAGCCATTCTCTCAAACAAAGGTCATTTGCAGGCCGTGAAAAATATTTGGGGGGCAACTGGCTGGGCCCATCCCCGGCAAGACACAGCCATGAGAAATCCTCCGCCATGGCAGCCCCGCCGACACACGCCAGTGGCCGCCAGAAAACACTGCCCTGATTCTTCTTGAACCAAACAGTGCACAAGCCAAGTCAGCGGCCAAATTGGAAGCCCGGGCGGGCTTTCAATGAGAGTGTTACCAAGGGATTATTTTACGTGTAGGTCCATCCCATTTATAGTTTGGTTTTTCGTGGAGTCAGGAATGGAAAACATCCAAATTATATAAACGCTGTGTTTGGAACATGCAGTTCAGGATTCTGAACATTTGGCTATAGCTCAAAAATGGGGAACCAATTGACCCACTGTCATTCTCATCGAGTAAGTACCCTCTGGTAATTTAACATAGCCATGGAAAATGACCCATTTATAGTGAGTTTTCCCATTAAAAATGGTGATTTTCCATAGTTATGTTAGTTTACCAGAGGGTATATAAAGTGAGGGTCAACAATGCTCGAGAATTTGGAGAATTTGGGTCCCTGTAGGTCCATCACTCCATCACCAGGTCCGCCCAGGGAGGCGCCTCAGCATCCATCACCCAGCGCTGGTGGCAGGGATGCGCCTGGTCGAAAGGGGAAGCATGAAGCGAAACCACTGCAATTTACCAAGTGAAAAACCATTGTAGCGATGCTGTAAGAGATGAAAGTCGAACAAAAGCAACACAACTACGTCGTCGATGTTTGCAGATTGCGAGTCTATCTGGGTTTGAAACAAGTTTGCGAACCAACCAGAAATTCTGGCGCCCAGCGCCACATCCTCTTCCCGATCTAATATGTTAAACCCAAACATGAATTCCATGGATCTTTTTTGGAGAATGTAAAAATGACATTGTATGTGTATATATATATGATTATATCATATGTATGTCACATGTGTATTATACCATATGTTATATCATACAGTTGTATATTATTATTCCGGTTTATACGGTATGTGGATGAGAAGTGGATCTACCATCCAATTTCCCCAGCCGCCTCCGTGCCGTGCCACTCCTTCGAGTCTTTCACAACGATGGGCCTTGGGACTTGGCGGCGTTTGACCAAGATTTTGACCAAAACGTGGGTTGCAGCAACAATTGAAGAAAAGGTGGGATGTAATCAACAACAGGATGTAACCGATGTAACCAGCAAAAGCAATTAAAAAGTTGGATTTTCCTGGCAATGCATTGGGGTTGGAACTCACAAGAAGAGTGAAAATTCTGGGAAATACCGAGATAGTTCAAAGAATAGTGAAAAAAAAAAATGCTGGCCAACATCTTCACAAGATTTATATATTACCTGCAATATTGGGGTTAAAACCAGCAAGACCGATGCTATAAGAAGCAATCCCGGGGATCTACAAGTAGAACTGGCAATCATGTTTCCTTACCTGTGCACCACACATGGAGGGACACAAAAGGCGCTGATTCCGGTGTAGCTTTGCCGGGGTTAGATCCAAGTCCTTGCACGATCTTTGTGGGAAATGCCCTTGGAATTCCAGGGTTCTTGGTATTGGCACTGTGGCTTGGTCAGTCCTGTTAAACAAAAACCCGCCTAGAATCGGTATTCTCTTGGGAAGCAATCTGCCCCGAATGTATCCATGATACACACAATGATCGTCCAATGTGTGAAATGTCGACAATGATCAAGACAACAAAAACGTACAAAAACTATCACTAATACAATTAAATCCAATTAGTACAGGAATGATAACATCTATTCCCCAAAAAAGAGACCCCTAGTCTTTTTTTTGGGTTCCCGGCTCGTGTTCATCACCTGGTGCCGCGTGGGATCCCTGGTGGTTGA